CTTGGCTGGGTGGTATCACTAGGGAATTGCACGTAGCACATGTTTTCTCCTGCCTAGCCTTGAACCTCGAGTGGGGGAGCAATGGCACCAACCTCTTCCCCAGAGCACATCTGGAAGATGGTCCCATCCACCTGGCCCACCCCTAGTTCTCCTCTGGAGATACGCACGGTCAAGACCCCTACTTCTCACCTGAGCTCACCTGTAAAATGAAGAGAACCCCCTGCCTGGTTCAAGAGAGAAGTGTGTCAGAAACTGGAAGAGAGAAAAGTAGAAGACAAGCCTGGTGCAGGTAGCTCATGCCTGTAATATTAGATGGAGGTTCAAAACTAGAGGTAGAGAAGTTCTGTGACACTATCTCTAAAATAGCAAAAAGTTGGGCTGGAGACATGGATCAAGTAGAAGAACACTAGCAGAGCAAGAAAGCTAAACAAGTACAAGATCCTAAATTCAAACCATTACCAGAAAAGAAAAGGACTAGTTTTTCTATTAGCATCGATAGTTATTCAAAGGAGGATTTCATTGTAACATTTCCAGGCATGTATATGATGGATTTTTTATCAATCTCTCCTCCCTATCTGTTCTTCTCCCTTCCTTCCTTCCCCCTTCCTAAAACAATTTCAATAGGTTTCATTTCATTTTCATACATCATATTATCCTCTTTTACCCTTGTGAGCCCAATAGTCTGTTTCTCCCCAACCCCAACACCCTATTGATCAACAGCCAGCTTTTGTTTTGTTTTTTCGGTCTGGTCGTGGGGCCTGAACTCTGGGCCTGGGCACTGTCCCTCAGCTCTTCAGCTTACTTCCGGCTTTTTTTTTCTGCTTATGTGGTGCTGAGGAATCGAACCCAGGGCTTCAAGCATGCAAGGCAAGCTCTCTACCACTGAGCTACCTTCCCAGCCCCTCAACAGCCAGCTTTCACTGAGGTTTTTTTTGTTTTGTCTTTCAGTCATGGGGCTTGAACTCAGTCTGGGCACTGTCCCTGAATACTTTTGCTTAAGGCTAGCATTCTACCGTTTTAAGCCACAGCAGCACTACTTCCAGTTTTCTGGTGGTTTATTCAAGATAAGAGTCTCATGGACTAAGCCGGGCACTGGTGGCTCACGCCTGTAATCCTAGCTACTCAGGAGGCTGAGATCTGAGGATCGCGGTTCAAAGCCAGCCCGGGCAGGAGAGACTGTGAGACTCCTATCTCCAATAAACCACCAGAAAACCGGAAGTGGAGCTGTAGCTCAAGTGGTAGAGCGCTCACCTTGAGCTGAAGAGCTGAGGGACAGCGCCCAGGCCCAGAGTTCAAGCCCCACGACCGACAAAAAAAAAAAAAAAGAGTCTCATGGACTTTCCTGCCCGCCTGGCTTTGAACTGAGATCTTCAGATTTTAGCCTCTTGAGTAGCTAGGATTAAAGGTATGAGCCATCAGTGCCCAGCTTCACTTAGATTTTTTTTTAATGCTATCTTCATATAGAGGTAAAGTGTATCTCAAAATCATTTACACTCTGTCTTTCCTTAAAAGGAGGAGAGGCAAGAATGTGTGTGTACTTGGAAGATAAGGTAATAGAAGGGAAGGTGAATATAATCCAAGTACATTATGCACATCTTACACATTATGAAACTATCATACTGTGAAAGTGGTGCTGTGGCTCAAGTGGTAGAGAGCTCGCCTTGAGCTGAAGAGCTGAGGGACAGCGCCCAGGCCCAGAGTTCAGGCCCCACAACTGACCAAAAAAAAAGAAACTATCATACTGAAAGCCATTAATTTGGACAATAAGTACATACCAATAATAAAAGTCACCATAAATAAATAATTGTACCAGTACATTAAGATAAAGAAAGAAAAAGAAATTAATAAATAGGAAACATTGTACGCAGTTTGCTTCTACATCAATATGACCTTATTCTTTTAGGAAACACTTAGAATATACAAGTTACAAATAATCTTTGTTGTTCATTCCAAGGAAAAAACTCATTACCCTCCAAGAGAAAGCATCAAATGACAGCTTGCCGCCAGGACTCTGTATTGCTTGCCTAAAAATTCCAACCTTACTGTGTCTTCCAATCATATACCATGGTGCTCACTCAATTCTTCTCATCTTCCAATTCCACACTGCAAGTCCACTGTAATCCCCTTCCCCACGTTCTCCCCTTTCTCTTTTTTTCTGGTGCTGGAATGCAGAACTCTTGCACAAGTACTCTATCATTGACCCACACCCAGCCTAAATCAGATTCTGAAAGACTAAGATTCCACCGTTCTCTCTTACCAGGCTGAGCCACAAATATTTTTTTGCCATATCACAAGGTGTTTTGGTGATATGGGGGGTGGGGAGGGCAGTAATATCTTGGGTGCATACCTGTGCAAGGCTCTGCTGTATCCCCTCTGGGGGAGGACACTTCTTTTTGTATAGCAGATTCTTCTTCCACCACCACTGCGCCATCCTCTGGCTTTGGCTGTGCTGGGCTCGGGCCCTCTGACAGATGCTGGGGCCAGAGCAGCAGCTCAAAGCCTGGCAGCACGACCTGGTACACCTGCAGGTGGAGCCTCTCGTTGATCCGAACCAGGGCCACATTTCCCTCACTCTCCAGCCTGGCCTGCCGCACCAAACTGCAAAGCAGAGCAAAAGTGAGTTCAGCCTCTTAAGGCCTAGCTCCATGGAAGTCTGAGGCCCAAGGGCTGGCATGCCTTTGTAACTCTCACTTGAAAAGACCTCTGACAGAGGAATGACAAGTTCTACCTAGGCCTCAAGAGAAAGCCTCAAAGAAGTATATTCAGTATGCATGCTCCTCTAACTTACCCGGTCCAGCCTGAACTCTGTTCCCAGGTGCACACAGCTCCCCACGGGCCCCGTGATATGTCCTGAAATAAGACATAAAAGAGAATTGAGGGAACCAGGCAGGAAAACCATGAACTAGATGAAACTTCTTCTGGGACAAATCTAAGATGAAGCTCCTGGGAGGTTAGAAGCCTCTGGTGATAGTTCTGACTCTTCAGTCAGTGAAATCCAAAGAATTGTCCACTCACCTCCCTCCCAATGTTATGAGAAATTGCCAAATTCAACACATTATCGCCTTCTAGTAGTACCAAACAGAAAAAGTACTAAGAACAACTTTTTTTTCTTTTGGTGGAAATGGGGTTTGTACTGAAACGTTTCATGTTTGCTAGAAAGGTGCTTCACTACTTGAGCCACATTCCATGTCCTTTTCTGCTTTGCTTTTTTTTGTCGGTCATGGGGCTTGAACTCTGGGCTTGAGTGCTGTCCTTGTGCTCTTCAGCTCAAGGCTAGTACTCTACCACTTGAGCTACAATACCACTTCCAATTTTCTGGTGGTTTATTGGAGATAAGAGTTTCATGGACTTTCCTGCCCAGTCTGGCTTTGAACCGTGATCCTCAGATCTCAGCCTCCTGAATAGCTAGGATTACAGGCATTAGCCACCAGTGCCCAGCTTCTGCTTTATTTTTTTAGATAGGATCTTGTATTTTTGCTCAGGGCCAGCCTCAAATGAAAATCCTCCTCTGGTGTAGCTGAGACTACAGACCTGAGCCTCCATGCCATTTATTTGTTGAGATAAAGCCTCAGCTAACTTTCTGCCTGGGATGGCTTTGAACCTCAATCTTTTGACTCTCTGTTTCTCATAGCTGGGATTACAGAGTCTCACCATTGTGCCCAGCCTGAGGAATATTAGTTTTATAACAGCACTTACTATGCAATTGAACGTTTTATTTGCATCATTCCATCTAGTCCTTCAAATTATCCTGGGTCAGCCAGGTAATTTGGCTGGGATTTGATCCTGTATCTTCTGAATTCGACTAGTTTTAGCTCTTGACCTTTGCCACTACCAACACTGTAGGAATCCAGCTTTTAACCACTTTTAGCACCTGGATCCCTCTACTACTGCAGCTCAAGGACAGACAGTCCAGCAGAAATGAGACAAAACCATCTCGTAGCGCTTGAAATGCTCTGCTTCTAACCAACCGCAGAGTAGTCCAGAAATGTCTAAATCTCCCCCAACTTTTCGATCACAAAGACTTCCTGGTCCCTCAATACCTCCTCCTGCGATGGCTTCGCTCCTTGGTCTTTCTCAGACACTGACTCCTCTTCCAGCGGCCCCGAGTGCAGCCCGGGCTGCAGGGGCTCCCCAACACACCAGACACCCAAGAGCTGTTCCCTGGCACGTGAGGGGCCGACGGCCAAGCCCCAGGGGAGGCTCTTCAGAGCACGGACGGCTGGGCTCGGTCCAGGCGGGAATGGTTTGGGGTCCCGCGCACAACCTTCTCTGGAAGAACTCCATTTTGAGTCCGGGTCCAAACGCGTTTCGGGGGCTGCAGGAAGACGGGCGGGAAGGGAGGCGAGGGTGGGGAAAGGTGCGGAGGGAAATCAAAGGTTTAACTGGTCCTCGGGGGTCTGAGATACTCAAGGGCGCTAAGGGGTTCCGGAATGCTTTGAGGGGAGCCCAGATCTCGTTAAGAAGCCTCAGAGACTCGAAGGACAATGAAGGCTCTAGAGGAAACGGGGCTGGGGGAGAAAGTGGACTGGACAATGCTGAGGGCAGCAGCCAGAGCAAATCACTCACGGAGCGACCCGGTCCCCAAGAGCATCTGCTCCGCCTCCTCCATCCCGGGTTGGAAAGCCTCCCTTCTCCGGAAGTGAGCGTCCTCTTCTCAGCTCCTCCCGGAAACAGTTTTTGACTTCCAAATTTCCTCTCAGGAACGACTCAGAAAAGTCACCTGTCCTAGCTGAACCAGACCTAGAGTACGGCAGTACTCGTAGGGCGAAACTCGGTCCGAAAATAATACGCAACTACGATTCCGGAAGCCCACCAGGAACTCTGTGTCCGGGAAAGCGGAACTAAGAAGTACAACTCACCTTCATGGAGCGACGAGTCGGACAGTTATGCGGTCCCTCCTCTGGGCGGACACTTGGGTGGGCACTAGCCGGAAATGGGCAGGGCTCCCTGGAAAGGCCGTGTTTGGACCTGGCAGAGATCCGGAAGTAGGTTGGAGGTGTGGCGGAAGTGGTTGGGGAGTGAAGGGACCCCCCGAGGGGGCGGTTCCCGTTCCTGCGCGGAGCCGGATGTTTGCCGATCTTTGACAGGCGTGGCCGAGGGAGCGGTGCCCGGGCGCGGTGAGCTTCGGGGCGCGGGGGGTCTTCTGGCGCGGGGTGGGGGGAGGAAGGGAGCGGGTGCAAGATGGAAGGATTTGAGCTCAGAGGTGATATTGGCCCCAAGTCGGGGGTGCCCTGGTCTTTCCGCTGGGGGGATTCCTCGGCTGCTTTTGCTGACTTCTTCCTGCGGGAACCAGGGAAGAGGCCACACCAGACGTCTAGTCAGGAACTGGCCCCTGGGGAGGGAGCAGGCTTCTTGATGCCATCGGGCCATGCACCAAGACTAGAAAATTTGGGGGAAGTGTGCTAACCTTATTACTCAACAGGCCAGGCTCTCACTTTCTTAGCTTGTGACATGATACAATTACCTTAGTTTTGTTGTTGGTTTAAATCTGTGCAAACGCGATTGTAGTGCAAAGTTATTGTAATGTGGTGGAATTTGCGTGGTTGGTTTTTTTTTTTTTTAATTAATTCTGGAGTCATTTTTAGGAATTGTGATTCCAGAGATTTCAAGTTGCTTCTCGCTGTTCTGTGCAAAGGGAACAGTAGAGGAGTGTCTTTGACTCTATTGGCCACCTGTTTGAACCCTATGATTCATAAGAGTGAAAGTCACTTAGGAAATTATTTAAGGAATGACTTTCACCAAGAGACCTCCTCAAACAAGTAGATCTGGATTGGATTAAAATCCTATCTCTATGAGTTGTATGACCTTCATCAATTGCTTATTTTTTTTCTGCTCCTCGCTTTCCTCAAACTAGAATGGATTTAGAAGTATATGTGAGACAAATGCTGCTGTGAAGTTAATAGTTTTGTGTCCATTTCAAATTGCTCTATAGGCCCTGGACAAATATTAGTTCCCTTTTACATTTAGGAAAACAATTCGTTCAGCCATTCAACAAATAACTGAGTATCTATAGTTTGAATAGTTTTTTTAAATGACTTTATTTATGTATATATATTTATTTATTTCTGTGGTGCTAGGGATGGAACATAGGACTTTGTGCATGACAAGCAGAGTGCTCTACAACTGGTTTATATCCTTAGCCCTTGGATAGGCTCTTAAGCAAGTTTTCAGAGAGTTTCCAAACCCTCAAAATCGCATGCAAGATTTCATGAAGGTTACTTAAAAAATTACCTTTAAGGCTTAGTGGTAGAGTGCTTGCCTAGCATGCATGAAGCCCTCGGTTTGATTGCTTAGTACCACATAAATGGAAAAAGCTGGAAGTGACACTGTGGCTCAAAGGGTAGAGCACTTGCCTTGAGCACAGAGAGGCTCAAGGACATCGCCCAAGTCCTGAGTTCAAGCTCCAGGACCAGCAAAAAAAAAAAAAAAAATTAGATAGTTGTACAAAGGAGTTGTCACTTAACAAAGCAATTTATTTATTTATTTATTTTTGTTTTACTTTTTTATTGTGAAAATACTGTACAGAGGGGTTACAATTACATGGGCAAGATAATGAGTACATTTCTGTTTTTTTTTTTTTTTTTGGGTCCAGTCGTGGGGCCTGAACTCTGGGCCTGGGCGCTGTCCCTCAGCTCTTCAGCTCAAGGCTAGCGCTCTACCACTTGAGCCACAGCGCCACTTCCGGCTTTTTTCTTTTTGCTTATGTGGTGCTGAGGAATTGAATCCAGGGCCTCGAGCATGCAAGGCAAGTGCTCTACCACTGAGCCACCTTCCCAGCCCCATGAGTACATTTCTTATCAAGCATTGTAGCCTCCTTTGTTTCCTCTACCCATCCAACAAAGCAATTTATGAATACAAAATATCTCCATTTATGTCACCCATTTCAACATTCTCACCAAATCCCTTCCTACCCAGCAGTGTCAGTTTTTCTTAAAAAGAAAACCCACAGTATTGTAATTTCAGAAAGGTCCACCATTTCCTAAAAGTTAAAACAACAACAATAACAACAACAAACCTTTGCCCAGGGTGATTTTCAAAGGTGTGTGTGTGTGTGTGTGTGTGTGTGTGTGTGTGTACTTGCTGAGATGGAAATAATAGTCCCAGAGTAGGAAGTGTTGTGCAGTGTGTAGCAGGGCTTGCTGTTAGTTGGTGTATCTTAGACAGTCAGGATGCTTCATCTCTATTTTGTTAGAATTTTCCCATTGGATCCCCTCACCTTCCCACTGAATGGGATAAACTTTCTATCCCAGAGAAAGCAACAGCTGTGGGTTGGAGGGGTATGAGAGAGGTCAGTAAGGCAGGGAGGGCAACATTGTAATTACTCTGGAAAAGGAGGTTCCCTGGGAGTTTAAGGAGGTTTGGAAGAACTGTGGGAATAGAGGAGTCAGCTGGAAAAGTGGTGGGGTTCAAGCGCAATTCCCATTTATTTAGTCAGTCCTGGGTCTTGAACTGAGGGCCTGGATGCCCTTTGCTCAAGAGTAGCCAAGACTAGCACTCTACCCCTTTGATCCACACCTCCACCCCTCCCCCCCTCGGTGGTTAATGGTGGTTAATGGTCTTTCATGCCAGGGCTGGCTTTGAAATGTGATCCTCAGATTTCAGCGGCCTGAGTAGCTAGAATTACAGGTTACCATTGCCAAGCTCAACTCTCTTTTAGATTTGTGTTTTCCATTCTTCATATATAGCTCACACATAACTCAGCTCCTACATGCTATTTCTAATTCTGCTCACCAAATACTGGAGAAATATATTTCTGGAAGGAACCTTTGCTTCTACAGATGAAGAAATTTAGGTGCAGATAGGAAAACAGCTTGCTCAGGAACTTTGTACCTCAATGACAGTCAAGATTGTAACTCACTTTTCCATATACCAGACTCCATGCCTTTTCTAGCTTGTCAAGTGCCTACTTAATGCAGGAATATGTCTTTGGATAATTTGTGAATAGGGTTAAAGGAGCACCTGGTACCTGAGCAGTGATAGAACACAAGGCTGGAGGGAAGGATCATGGGTGGAAGAGATAATTTTGAGCTGGATTCTGTTCCTTACTAGGCTGGGGGCCCCTGTTGGGAAATGGCCCAACAGTCTCCTCCTGATTGGACAGAGGAGAAGCATATAGATGGGAGGAGGAAAGTAGGAAGAGGTGATGGGCCTTAGGGAAGTTGATTCCTTAAGACTGGAGGTTGTGTTGGAGAGCTCCGCCATCAAGGGGAGTGAGGAGCTGGGTTTCAGGTGAGGGCTTGAGTGCTCATAGAGAAGAATGCATTCCCACATGTGACAGGTTAGCTTTTGTGTTTGTGGACAGTGACCTTTATTTTGGTGGCAAAAAAGCTGACTGAATAGAGTAGTGGAGAAGGCCAGAAGAGAGGGAGAGAGAAAATGGCTTTGGGCTGTTTGGCTGCTAGCTTTGGCTGAGGAGCTTGCAACAGCTTTTCTTATTGACTCAGTGTGGTTGCCCTAGTAACAAGGAGGTTGTTGCTAGGCCCTCGGAGCCAGTTCACCATCCAGAGCCCTGGGCTGTGATGTGTGTGGGAGATTGTCAAGTCATCTTAGAGCCCAGAGTCTATAGATCTCAAATGGCAGCTTTTCTTTTCTTCTTCTTACCCACCCTCGGGTCCTGTCAGTTCTTATCTGCCTTGCTGTTTCTGTGACCATATATGTCACATTTTGGGCTCCAAGAATGCAGCAGGCCTTGGAACAACCTCTTCTTTGGGGCTGGCCAAATAGATTGAATTGAACCTCCTCCCTCACCCATCTGGTGAGCTTGTGGTGGGAAAGGGAGGTACTTCGCATAGGGCTGAGGGGAGAAGGTGCCACCACCTCTGGCTGAATCCCAGACCTACAGAAATCTGGTTTTAGCACTGGATATTTTCCTGCCATGCCTGATTGTTCTGTACTTCATCTCGTCTTCTCAGCAGTCCTGGATGTCATGAGCAGCCTCCTTTCTCATCTGTGCTTTCTAGTTCTTAGGGCAACATGTTGGTTTCCTACCTTGAAACTGGCATCCAGAGCTCCCACAGGTGAAGAGGCCAGCAGGGAGCACTAGGATTCATACAGACTGTGTGCTGGCAGGCGGATTCTACCCCTTGTCACTGGTTCTTGTCCTGAGGCAAACCCAACTGGGCCCCTCAGCCATGATCTTTTCTGTGGATGCTCTTGGTGGCTGCGTCCTCTTCCTGTGGGGAGGAGTGGAATAGTCAGGATCACAGCTGATCTTTTCCAGGCATGGTGTTTAGAGATTCAAATTAGAGATTCCTTAGTTCTTGTCACATCAACCGCTGTAACTAGTGGGGCTGTGAGGCTACTGTGCTTCAAGAGTCCCGAGGAAAGAGACATGAGCTTTTCTACCCATTGTAGAGAGCATCTGACCAGGCCAGATGGGTAGCAGGCAGTGTAGGACCTGGCACAGTCCTCCCTGCCCAGCTGGTGACCTGAAGGGAGGTTCCGAGCTGTGCCATCTCCTACCCCAGCTGCCTTTCTGGCAACATGCTTCTCAGAGCTCTTGGCAGAAAGAGAAGCATTGAGGAACCAGGAACTAGAGAGCCAAGAGAGGGAAGAGTAGGGGCAGGAGGCTAGCTGTAAAAATTACAGAAGGTAAAAAAGAAAGGGATTGCTGACTATAGACCTCCCTCCTCTCCCAGGTTTCCCTTCAGTTTCTGCTGCGAGGGACAGACTTGGCCATGGACCCACTCTCAGAACTTCAGGATGATCTGACTCTCGATGACGCCAACCAGGCTCTGAACCAGCTGAAGCTGGCCTCCATTGATGAAAAGAACTGGCCCTCAGATGACATGCCGGACTTTCCCAAGTCAGGTGGGCATGGCCACTCTGGGCAGCTGCAAGCACCTTAGACAGAGACTCCTCTTCCCTGCTGATCGGGCCCTTGGGCACAGAATGGGGATGTAGATAGCTCCAGGGTGGGGCAGTTAACACAAGCCTCACTGAGAGGCTCATAGAAGGTGAATCTCAGAAGAACACCATGTGAGCCCCAAATGGCTCACCCCTGACTTTTCTATATTCCACAGATGATTCCAAAAGCAGCTCCCCGGAACCTGTCACACACCTGAAGTGGGATGACCCTTACTATGACATTGCCCGGCACCAGATTGTGGAGGTGGCAGGTGAGCATACCCAGCAACACAGTCTGTCCCCACACTGTTGTCTGACCCTGGCTTTGGACTCCCAGAGCACATATGCTTTTCCTTTAAAGCACAGTCTTGATTATGAGCACTGGCTGATACCTTCATTCACCACCACTTCCTGACTATGGCCTTATTGTCTCCATCTGCAGGTGGTATGTGGGAGGCAGTATGGTCTAGTAGCTTTGAAGTCAGAAAGTGCTGAGTTTGATCTCCAGTTTTGCTCTCTGAACTCTTCCTTCCTTGTAGGTCACTGACAGTGTTACAGTAATGAATATATGTCAGGACCTCCCCACAGCCAGGACATAGATGGCCCTGAATAAGTGGCCTTGCCTTTCTCCTTACTCTGCTCCATCTCTTTCCTTTGGTCTGATATCAGCTTTTCTCCCCAACATGCCTTGGAGAGGAGGGGGTGTTCCAGTCCTTTCTGGGAAACCCTTCTTCCTAGGAAGTCTAGAGTGGGCAGAGCCTTCTTCCAGAAACCTTCTTCTGTGCAGCATCAAGTTGCTGGCTGGCCGAGAATGGGTACAGAGCCCCCCTTTGACTCTGCCTCATGGAAGTCCCTTCATTCCGTTCATAAGGCAAGACCTAGAAGAGACATAGAACAGGAGAACCCTGGATAAGCTGGCTCCCAGCCCCAGGATTTCATTGCTAGAAGAGGCACTCATGAGGTCAGGCAACTAGAAGCAAGCAGTTAGTCTTACCTCACTCTGAGGCATAAGGAATCTGTAGAATGCTATTGCTAGAGCCCAGTGTCCTGGCTGAGGACACTCTGGACAAGCCACATACCTGGAGGTACATGGCCAATGGGAAGCAGCTGAGAGCTCCATCACGGATGCTGAGCTCAGAGCAGGACCAACTGTTGAAAGGACTGTCCCTGGTGTGTAAGGTGTTTCCTTGACTTCTGTGTTCATGGACTTGCCCTAGTCTGGGTGGGAGTCCTTGGCTCTTGCCTCTTTCTCTACAGAAGGAAGATTGAGTTTCTTCTTCCCTTATTCTGACCTGGGCACAACAGGAGAGTCAGTGGACATCAGTGTGGTATGGGGATGTCTGCTTGATGGAGTTTATCCCAACATCCTCCTCACCTAGTGATCAAGTCATAAGGCAGATTGGGCAGAGACTAAGGTGTCCCTTGTTCCCTGTAGCAGCCCTGCAGTGTGTTTCTATTTTCCCCAGGGTGTGACGAGCCTGAGGGGGCCCAGCCAGGTAGGTGTTAGTCCTGGCTGTCTGTGCTTGGGCTGCGACCTCTGGGGTATGATCAGGGGAGGGCCTTGGGGGAGGACAGTGGGGCCAGCTTAATTGCAGCCCCTCTCTGGGGAGCTGGGAGCTGGTGCTGTTTGGGAGCTGGAAATAATAGTAGAGTTTATGGGAGACATGGCACAACAGGGTGGAGACTGCGAGGACACACCCAGGACACACACAAAGGGAGGGAGCTCTGGAAGAAGGGGAGGCCTTGCCCAAACCAGGCCTGGCCTGCCTACTGGCGTAGGGGCCTCCAGGTAGTGTGCCTTATTGGTTGGTAAGAACAGCCTGGATCGGCACTGGCAGAATAAGACTCATTTGATGAGTCGTTGGTGAGGTCCCTGTGCTAGAAATGGAACACAAACAGCCTGTGTGGAAGGAAGAATGGGGTGTGTCCTCGACTGCTCTTCAGCCTGTGTTGGTCCCACTAGCAATAGCTGTCATGCTTCTTAGACAAATTTGGGGGTGTGTGTGGGTCTTTCCAGTGGTGTGCTGGTAAATGTTTGACAGTGGACTCATGGAAAGGGGGTTGGGGGGTGGGGAGCCATGACTGTAGCATTTTCAGTTTCCACTCTGGCTAATTTCATGCTCATAACATGATGTCAACTGGTTTGCAAAATTCCTGACAATTTATAGCAATTTAACAAATGTTTGAGCCATCTCCAGCACACCACAGGCTCTATGGCTCAGCCCCCACCTTCAGAGGCCTGACCTACTCTGCAGGTTGTAGGCGGGGGCCCAGTCTGGTCTGGTGGTGCCCAGAATGCTGGCTGGAGAAGTTGTCCAGTTTCTGATTAATACCTAGGCCACCCTGGGAGACGCCCTGATTGGTATCTGGGGAATGCAGAGGCCTGGCTGTCTGGGCTTGTCATACTGAACCCTCCCCATTGAGCCCTCCCTCTCCCCAGAGCTGCCAGCTCTGTCACACCCTTAAGTCTCCGATGGGAGTTTTCTGGGCCTCTTTACATGGGATTCTTGTCACAGTAGTTGCTCTGTCTCTTGCCCAGTGCCAGGCCACACAGGGACTTGGGTGATGGAATTCCACTTAAGGGAGTGGAAGGTAGGGTCAGACCCTAGGAATATCCTACTTGGTTCCTTACTTGCCTTGAGAATCTTGGCATCCTATTCCTTACTGCTCTGTCAGCCCTCATGCCCATCTTGGCTCCACTCAGTGTTCATTTCAAGAATAATATTGTAAGCTGGGTGCCAGTGGCTCATGCCTGTATTCTTAGCTACTCAGGAAGCTGAGATCTGAAAATCATGATTTGAAGTCAGCCAGAGCAGCAAAGTCCTTGTGAGACTCTTGTCTTCAATAATACTAAAAAAAGCCAGAAGTGATGCTGTGGCTCAAGTGGTAGAGCTCTAGCCTTGAGCACAAAAAGGCTCAGGACAGTGCCCGGGCCCCCTGAGTTCAAGCCCCAGAACTGACAAATGCAAACAAACAAGAATAATATTATAGAGATTTAGAATAAGCCCAGTATTCAGCATTTAGAACTCAGTGAGGGAAACCTCAAGAAGTTTATAGTCTAGAACAGCTCAATGGTGGGTTACTTACCTAGTGAAGTGTGAGGCCTGGATTCCGATATCCAATAACACACACACACACACACACACACACACACACACACGTAGGTTTTAAAGCTGGTCACAGGCTTCTTTGAGACTATGAAAGGTCTCAGGTTGCCAATCATTTTCTCTACAAAAAGTATGTGTGAGCTGGGCATTGGTGGCTCACACCTGTAATCCTAGTTATTCAGGAGGCTGAGATCTGAGGATCAAGGCTCAAAGCCAGCCTGGTCAGGAAACTGTGAGACTCTTATCTCCAATAAACCATTCAGAAAATTGGATGTGGCACTGTGGCTCAAGTAGTAGAGTGTTTGCCTTGAGCTGAAGAGCTGAGACACAGCGCCCAGGCCAAGAGTTCAAGCCCCAAACCAACCTAAAAAAAAAAAGTATGCATGTGCTTATAATATATTTTATGTTGATATTATGGGGTTGGGGGATCTGCTGAGCTCTTTGGTGAAGTCCTGCTGGAGAACACACAGCTCTTGTGCTGTGGCAGGCTGTGAGGTGGGCCTCATTCAAACTGCTGCTGTAACCACTTATTAGCTCTTCACATTCCAGGGCCATAATAGCTCACAGACCTGCCCTGCCTGAGTTCTCAAACTCTGCCGTTCCTGCTGGACTGGGGAAAGTAGAGAATGCTTTTGGAGTGTTCCCAGCATTCTGGACATTTCCTCTGCTAAGGTGGGAGAAGGCAAAAAACATACCTTCTTCTGGATTCATGGTAGAAGCAGCAGATTATCCTTCTGCCAGACTACTGTTTCTTCCCCTATCAGAACCAGTAGGAAACAAGTGGAGGAACACAGTGCCAGAGCCACCCCAGCTGGTCTACAAGGAACATCAGGTTTAAGGCTAAAGCATAGGAAGAGAGCAGATGGTACCTGGGCCTTCAAAATAGGCAGTTTGCCTGCATGGAATCCTAGATTTGATAGATGGAGGCAGAAGGATCATAGTTCTAGGCCAACCTGATCTACATAGTGACACTTTGTTTCAACATTTAAAAAAACAAGTGGAACTGCTGAATTGAACTGTGCTGCTTCTTCACACTGGCATGTAAAGGATTCTCAATCAGTCTGCAGAAATTCTGTCCCAGTCTTTGGGAAAGTCACTGTCTCACCCAGCCAACTTATAACCTAAGCATCAAGAAACAAACTCAAATGAAACTGCATACCATGTAACAGTGACCTGTGATTAGTCAGGCTGCAAACACTTAATATTTGACACAGAGTTTCACTGAGTTGTCTATGCTGGTCTTGAAGTTTTGGGCCAGATAATCAGTGTATGCCACTGTATCCAGTTACCAACATTTAATGAATACCAGTCATGTGCTGGACCAGTAGTAGAGTTCAACCAGACAGGATCCCTGGCTTCAAGCTAGTCATGAGCCATAAGGAGATGGAGTATAAACAATTACACAGCAAAGTCAGTGTGATGACTGTGGATGACTGTTTATGCTGGGAACCATGAAAAGAGCCAGCTGACTTACTTGGGGGAGGGGAAGGAGGTGATTATGTCTGGATCTTTTAGTTCATAGGGGTTAGCCTAGAACAGAACTGTCTCCAGAGAGTATGAAAAACAGCAGAGGCACAGCCCAGTCTGGCATCCACAGCCTTGGCATGGACAGGCCATAGGGCTGTGTTGAACTGTGCACGTTACAGGCCTTAAGAGATGTCCCAAGCCCTGAGAGTCCCATCATGGATTATTTCAAGGACCCGGTCCCACAAAGTGTTCAGGTGAGAGGTATGCCAGAATAGTAAGTAGAGTTGAGGAAGGTTAGTGTTTGTAGTAATGTAGGGCTACCATTAAGGCTTGTTAGGAGAACACAGCATTTTTCTGGATTTTCTAGGCTGGGTTTTAGGTACTGATTGAAGAAGTGCTTGCACCTTTCAGTGCTAATAGAGGCAAGGAGGAGTGGGTGCTGATTCAGGGCTGGACAAGGTAGTTAGCCAGAGCAAAGCTCCAGCTTTTCAGCTGGCCATCCTGGATACATTCCAGAAGCCTCTTTCTGCCCATCCAGTGAGAGCCCAGCCTTAGCCCTAGAGAAAACCATAAGAGTTTTGTGAACTCTCTGGAAAAGTACTGACTCCTGGACTCTGTCAGTGACCAAGAAGGATCATAAGGATCATGGCTTATTAAATAGAGGAGATGCCCAGATGGGGTGAGCTGTTCTTAGGGAGAGTGGAAGGGCAGACCCTTCCTGCGTTTCAGGGACTATATAGGTGGTCTTTTATTTGCCTCTGAGACTGGGGAACTAAGGAAGTGCAGCTTTGGTGTCTCTGGAGAAGCAAAGGTTGCAGGAGAGGGGAGCAGGCCTTGGCTATTTGTAGCTTTCCTGGGAGCCCCTGATCCATGCTGGGTTTGGAAGAGCCTCTTACTTAGGGGCAAGGACTTGTGTCTCATGAGCTTCCTGGCTTCTTAACAGAGTCAGTGGTTAGATCACCAAGATGATGGCTTTGGGCAAATATCTTTCAGACATTTTGCTTTGCTACAGCTTTCCATATTCCTCTGAACTCTCATGTTCTCTAAAATATTACTAATGGGGGCAGTGATGGAGCACAGGGCAAAATGCTTGCCTGGCAAATGTGATGCCCTGGGTTCGATCCTCAGTACCAAAAAAAATAAAATTAAAACTAGTAAAAGAAATCCTTAATGGGAATAGATGATTTTTAGAAGTGTCCAGAGTTTAATCTGGGTCAAGTATGGTCAGTAATTTTAGTTGTAAAACCAGAAAAGTGGTGGTGGTGGTCAGAAATAAGACAAGGCTATTAAGTAGTGAGATGGTTTTCCTCCGTGACTTCTGACTTGCTGAAATGGTAGCTTTAAGAGGTTTTTGCAAATACTCACTGCTCAGAGTGGCTCAGAAGACAAGTTTTAGGGAGGCTTGTTGGTATGATGATATATAATTTGGTGAAGGTGAGGGACTTTTTAAAATGTGGTAACATTTACACAAAAGTCACATTTTGGGGTTGGGGATTTAGCTCAGTAGAAGAGCACTGCAAATGTGAGTCCCTGAGTTCAATCCTCAGCAGTGCAAACAAACAAACCTCCATCACTTTAAAGTGTACGATGTAGTGGTATTTAGTACATAAATGATGTTGTGGATCCATTACTTTTGTCTGTGCATGCCAATACTGGGGCTTGAACTCAGGGCTTCCTACTCTTGCTTAGCTTTTTTACTCAAGGTTAGTGCTCTACCACTTGAGCCATACCTCTTCCAGCTTTTTGCTGGTTAATTGGAGATTAAACTTTGATCCTTTCCAAGTTTTTATTACCCCCCATATCAACTGTGTGCCCATTACACAGTCCTATCCATGTCCTCCTAACATCTGGAAAACATTTCTTTGCCTTCTGTCTGTATGGATTTACATGTTCTAGATACATCATGTAGTACATGTTGGGGGCATATATTAGTATTTCATTTCTTTTTGTGGCCAAACAGTATTCCACTGCATTGATATTGATATTCCACCAAATGATGGGCATTTGGATTGTTTCCAACAGGCATGACTCTTTTTTTAAAAAACGTCTGGGCTGGGAAGGTGGCTCAGTGGTAGAGTGCTTGCCTTGCATGCCTGAGGCCCTGGGTTCGATTCCTCAGCACCACATAAGCAAAAAGAAAAAAGCCCGAAGTGGCTCTGTGGCTCAAGTGTGGTAGAGAGCTCGCCTTGAGCTGAAGAGCTGAGGGACAGCGCCCAGGCCCAGAGTTCAGGCCCTACAACCAAACCCCCCCCCCCCAAATTTTTTTAAATAAAATAAAAATTAAAAAAGTCATGTTGTCTTAGAAAAGCATGGAGACTGGCTGAGTTGGTATGCACCTGTCCTCAGGGAAGTATGAATAGGAGGATCACAGCCCAGGCTGATCCTGAAATAATGTCAGAACCTACCTGAGAGCAACACACAGGAAGAGAAGGGGAGTTGTAGGTGTGGCTCAAGTAGTAGAGCTCCTGTGCCTACCAAATGTGAGACTGGCCTGCACGCCCTCAGGTTCAGATGACTGCCTAGAGGTAATGTGCATGGGGTGCTCAGGCCCCCGTACTCACTGGCACAAGTCCCCAGGCTGGCACCTTGAAGTTCATCACCTTTCTGTGGTTCATCTTCAACACACTGTGCTCCATCTTTCTCTGCACTAGGAGATGACAAGTATGGGCGGAAGATCATTGTGTTTAGTGCTTGTCGAATGCCCCCAAGCCATCAGCTGGACCACAGCAAGCTCCTGGGGTGAGTACCAGTGGGGAAGTGGGGTGACACCTTTGCTTAGACCCCCTAGGTAGCCTAGAGCTGTTTGCCTTATAGGCTTCCCTGCCTTGTGGGGGTGGGGGTGGGGGCGTGGCACTTTCCTCTTCCCATAAAGGGGAGCATTGGACTTGAGACTAGATTTGGTTTCTAGTCCTGGAAGCTTCTGCATGGCTTTGGCAGTTGCCTTTGAGCCTCATTTTCTTACCTTTCAAGGAAGATAATGAATATGGCTCTCTTTCCTGATAAGAAGTCAATCATTTAAAGTAAAATGTCTTGAAATGTAAAATACCAGCCAAATAATTACAACTCTATGATATTTCTGGTGTGGTTGTTTCTCATTTACAGTTGTAATTTTTCATTAGTATTATTTTGTGCTAAAGATTTTTGTGGATTTTATGTGGATTCTCTTTGCCATATGTATAGCAGAGATGGGGCTGGGACATATCTTTTTTTTTTTTTTTTTTTGGGGGTCCGGTCGTGGGGCCTGAACTCTCGACCTGGGTGCTGTCCCTTAGCTCTTCAGCTCAAGGCTAGCGCTCTACCACTTGTGCCACAGCGCCACTTCCAGCTTTTTACTTTTTGCTTATGTGGTGCTGAGGAATCGAACCCAGGGCCTCAGGCATGCAAGGCAAGCGCTCTACCACTGAGCCACCTTCCCAGCCCCTCAGTACTATCTTGTACTTCTTTCCTGGCCAGTGTAAAACATTCCCTGAAATTAAAATTTCTGTAGTGCCCACAGCATCTCTCTGAGGTCCTGAGTGGTTGTGTGTCTGTGGAGGGTATGGGGTAGGCCTAGGAACAGGCCTAGTGTCATCAGCCCTGTGAGCCAGGGCCTGGGGCTTCATCTTCATAGCATCTGGGAGTTCTTTCTCTCTGACCTCCAGACTTCTCAGTGGAGCCAGGAAGAGTCTTGCCCAGGCTTATGACGTGGTCTATCTAGGAGCAGGCCACAGAACTCAGCCTGAGGGTGACTGAGTCATAGGCCCCTGTCTAGTTTTTTTTCATCCTCTCTGATGTACCAGGTGACAGATTCCTGGCCAGATAATAGTCCCGGGGGAGGAAGTCAGAGTGTGGAGATAGGAAATCACCTAGTTTTCAGGAGGCAGTTGTTGGGAGGAAACTATTTGTTCTGGGGCTTCCTCCAGGCTCGGGAAGTCCTCTACCATGTCCTGCAGTGGTTTCTCCATCCCTTCCCACCTGCATGCTTATAGGCACACACATGCACATGCAATAGCGCTTGATCATAATTCCTGCTGAGAGCAAAGAGGTGCTTCCATCATGGATTAGTCTCTCCTGTTTCTAGTCAGATGAGCTCAGCGTTGGCTTAGTCAAATTCTGGGACACTTCCCAGCTCCCCACCCACTTCTGGGGGAACAAAATGGAAAATGCCTGATGCTTGGACTCAAAAGACCAATTAAACTTCAGCTATGCCTCTTAACTAGCTGTGTACTTTGGGGCAACCCTCTTCTGAGCCCTATAAAAAATAATTAGGCCAACCTCACAGGATTATTGTGGGCAATAGGTAAGACAGTATATGTGGAATGCAATTATGTACATTTTCAAAGTATTTGGAGAGATTAGAAATATGTAAGAAGCTATGAAAAATATAGACAAACTGGGCACCAGTGGCTCACACTTGTAATCCTTGCTACTCAGGTGGTTGAGATTTAAGGATTGTGGCTCAAGCCCAGCTCAGGCAGGAAAGTCTATGAAACTCTTATTTCTAAGAAACCACTAGAAAACTGAAGAGGCACTATGGTTTAAGTGGTAAAGTGCTAGGCTTGAACTCAAGAGCTGAGGGACAGCACCCAGGCCCAGAGTTCAGGCCCCAGCACCGGACCCAAAAAAAAAAAAAAAAAAAATTGTGTGTGTGTGTGTGTGTGTGTGTGTGTGTGTACACACAAATAAAGTCTCTTGAGTGAAAAATGCTTGAGCGAAAATGCTCAGGGACCATGTCTAGGTCCAAGATCAAGCCCCACAATTGACAATAACTGATGTTGGCAGGGATATGGCCAAAAAGGAACACTACTACATTGTTGGTGGGAATGTAATCTTGTTCAACCACTTTGGAAAGCAGTGTGGAGGTTCCTCAAAAGACTCACGATAGAGAGGCTGGGAAGGTGGCTCAGTTGTAGAGCACTTGCCTTGCATGCCTGAGGCCCTGGGTTCAATTCCCCAGCACCACATAAGCAAAAAGAAAAAAGCTGGAAGTGGTGCTGTGGCTCAAGTGGTAGAGGACTAGCCTTGAGCTGAAGAGCTGAGGGACAACGCCCAGGCCGAGAGTTCAAGCCCCATGACCGGACCCCCCCCCCCCCCCCCGCAAAAAAAAAAAAAAAAGACTCACCATAGAGCTTCCCTATGACCCAGCAGATCCACTCCTGGGTATTTATCCAATAGACCACAAACAAGGCCACGCTAAAGTTACCAGCACAACATGTTCATTGCTGCATTGTTTACCATAGCCAAGATATGGAATCAACCCAGATATCCCTCAGCAGACGAATGGATCAAGAAAATATTGTATATACTATATATACACCATGGAATTCTATGCTTCCACCAGAAAGAATGATTCTGTACCATTCATAAAGAAATGGGAAGACTTGGAAAAAAATTATATTAAGTGAAGTAAGCCAGACCCAAAGAAACATAGATTGGGGCTGGGAAGGTGGCTCAGTGGTAGAGTGCTTGCCTTGCATGCATGAGGCCCTGGATTCGATTCCTCAGCACCACACAAGCAGAAAAAGCCAGAAGTAGGCGCTGTTGCTCAAGTGGTATAGCGCTAGTCTTGAGCTGAAGAGCTGAGGAACAGCGCCCAGGCCCAGAGTTCAGGCCCCACAACCAACAACAACAATAAAAGAAACATAGATTACATGGTTTCGCTCATTTGTTGTAACTAGAATGTACCTATAAAAGAAAAAAAAATACACTTGGACATGATAAATTATACAGGACTCTAGACATTCACACAGTGAAATCATAGTAGGATATTCTTAGGAGAGGATCACAAAGGATCAATAGCTATGTGCCTTTGAGCATATAAAATGATATCTAGGGCTGGGAAGGTGGCTCAGTGGTAGAGCGCTTGCCTTGCATGCATGAGGCCCTGAGTTCCATTCCTTAGCACCAGGTAAGCAAAAAGAAAAAAGCCAGAAGTGGCGCTGTGCTCAAGTGGTAGAGCGCTAGCCTTGAGCTGAAAAGCTGAGGGACAGCGCCCAGGCCCAGAGTTCAGGCCCCATGACTGGACCCAAAAATAAATAAATAAATAATAAATGATATCTATTGAAATGAACTCCAAGAAATGGAAACAAGAGGGTTTTTTTTTTTTTTTGTTATTTTGCTTTTTGTTTTTTTCTCCTTTGTCACTTTTTGTTTTCTATAGCTTTCGTCTTGTATGTCAGTTTTACCTGTTTTGGGAAGGGTAAAGGAGAACACTGAAATGATGGGACAAACGGTAAACAAATGCAGCTGTGATACTTAGTGTAGGCACTATAATGAGCTTGTGGGGGAAGGGGTTCAAGAGGGAAAAACTGGGAGAAAATGAGGGAAGAGGTGACATCATTCAAAAAGAAATGTGCTCATTACCCGACTTAGGTAACTGTAATCCCACTGTACATAACCTTTAAAATAACAACAACAACAACAAAATTCTGGGCTTGGGGTTGGAGGCATGACTGAGTTGGGTGAACACTTGGCCAATGAGTGAAAGCATTAGGTGCCGAGTTCAAGTTCCAGTCTCAGACCTAAAAGAAAAATTTCCAGGCATGGTAGTTCCTGCCTATAATCCCAGGCATCAGAAGACAGAAGCAGGAAGGTCACAAATTTAGGTCATACTGGGCTACACAGCAAAATCCTGTTGGTAAAAAACAAAAAACCTGAAGATACTCATCTCTGCCACACCAACAAACTGCTCTTTACTCTTTCTGTAGTGGGTAACCACGATTCTGACATCTGACTTTACAGATTAGTCCTGTCTGCAGCAACATCCTGTGAGATGTTCTATTTATAGATATCCCGTGACTTCTTTAACCAGTTCCCTGACATTCGACAGTTAGCTTGCTGTGCAGTGTTTTGTTTTTTTCCATCATGAAAGTCTGATGTGAACAGCCTTCTACAAAAATGTTCCTGTTTATCTCTGTCTCCTTAGGAAAAATTCCTGAACATCTTTTACAGGATCAAAGAGCATGCACACTTTTTAGTTTCTAAGAAACATCACTTTATTGCCTTTTAACAAACATTCATTAGCCAGGTGCTGGTGGCTGACAACTGTAATCCTAGCTACTTAATCCTAGCTACTTAGGAGGCTGAAATCTGAAGATTGTGATTCAAAGCCAGCCTAGGAAAAATCTGAGCTTCTTTTTGTTGGGGGGCGGGGGGGGGGGGGCCTTGAACTAGGGCTTGAACTAGGCCTGGTTACTGTCCCTGAGCTTTTGTGCTCAAGGCTAATGCTTTGCTGGTCGTGGGGCCTGAACTCTGAGCCTGGGCACTGTCCCTCAGCTCTTCAGCTCAAGACTAGCACTCTACTACTTGAGCCACAGAACACTTCCTGTTTTTCTGCTTATGAGGTACTGAGGAATCCAACTTAGGGCCTCATGCATGCAAGGCAAGCACTCTACCACTGAGCCACCTTCCCAGCCCTGCTTTACCACTTTGAGCACAGTACTACTTCCACTTTTCTGGTGGCTACTTGGAGACAAGAGTCTTAGGACTTTCCTGCCTATGCTGGCTTTGAACCACAATCCTCAGATCTCAGCCTCCTGAGTAGGTAGGATTACAAGTATGAGCCACTAGTCCCACTCTTACCTCCAATTAACCACCAAAAAGGCCAGAAGTGGAACTGTGGCTCAAGTGGTACAGCACTAGCTAGCCTTCAAACCCTAGGACTGCACCAAAAAACAAAACTAAATAAAAATCCATCAATAGATGATGTTATAAGAAGGTCTGTTGTCACTACAATCTTTGCTATTTTCTTTTTTTTTTTTTTTATTGTGAAAATACTGTACAGAGGGGTTACAATTACATGGGCAAGATAATGAGTACATTTCTTATCAAGCATTGCAGCCTCCTCCTTTGTTTCCCCTTCCCTTCCCATCCCTTCCCATCCTCCCCTCCCACCCCCTCACAATCTTTGCTATTTTCATAGCTGCAAAATGCTATCTTTTTACATGACAGCTTTTGTAAATAACAAAGTGCTCGATGTGGATACTGAGTAAGTTATTGTAGCTAATAATGATTGGAATCAATAGTAATCCAACATTAGTGATGTCTCTTGGCTTCCTTGCCTCGGCCCGGCACAGCACTCAGGGGACTGGTCTTAGGTTCCTCTCTCTAGGTAAGATCATAGAACTGGGCACTTAGTCAGATTCTAGGGTACTTCTCAGGAATCTTCCTTTCTCCTATGTCCTTTGGTATATGTCCTTAGCATTTGGGCCTGCCCAGCCTGGAGTGGCAGCCTGGGAGCTGCTTGGACCACCTGCAACAGGGCTTTACCCTAGATTCCCTTCCTTTCTCTCTTTGTCCATTCCTTTCATACTTCTCAGTGAGCTCCACGCCTCCTGTGTTTGTAAGGTACCCTGTCATTAGCATAGGGAACCTGAGGAGACGTGGCTTTTTGGTCCTCTCACTAGTGATGGGCACAGGTGACCTGGCCACCCTGATCACCTCCTGAGCATGATGCTTTACAATCTGCACAGAGTTCGCATGTAAGAGGCAGGGCTGTCCCTGGGTCTAAAACACAGCCTCGGACTTTGGACACCTCATCTCCAAGTTCTACAATAGCCATGATACCTGTGACAGACACCTGGCTTCTCTGCTGCAGCCTCTCATTCATAAAATAGGGAAGGAATGAGATAATGTATTGAAGCCCTGGGCTGGCACTAAATGCTTATACTGATAAGCTGTGTGTCCTTATCACTGACTAGGTGATTCTGGGAGGAAAGTGTCATCCCTTGCCTGCAGGTAGGCAGAGGGTCAGGCTTAGAGGTCAGTGTTCAAAAATGAGAGCTGTGATTGTTATTCCTCCAGGAAGCCCAGCCACCACCTCTGGTGATTACACCCGTTATACCACCGGAACAATGAAGGGAAAGGCTTGTCTGGAGGGAAGTGTGGTGAGAGCAGGAAACTAGGCACCTGTGTCTATCTTTTTTTTTTTTTTTTTTTGCCAGTCCTGGGGCTTGAACTCAGGGCCTGGGCACTGTCCCTGAGCTTCTTTTTGGTCAAGGCTAGCACTCTACCACTTGAGCCACAGCACCACTTCTGGTTTTTCTGTTTATATGGTGCTGAGGAATGGAACCTAGGGCTTCATGCATGCTAGGCAAGCACTCTACCACTAAGCCACATTCCCAGCCCCCATGTCTGCCTTAATGGCCGTACTATACACAGCGCAGATCTGAGCAGGGATTTCCTTTCCTTTCTTTTCCCTTTCCCTTCCCCTACCCTCTTCCCTTCCCCATCCCCTTTCCTTTCCCTTTCTTTCTCTTTCTTTCTCCCTTCCCCGCTTCCCTTCTCTTCCCTTCCCCCTCTCTCCTTCCCTCCCCCTCTCTCTCCTTCCTTCCCTTCCCTCCCTCCCTCCTTCCCTTCCCTCCCTCCCTCCCTCCCTCCCTTCCTTTGGTGTTGGGATGGATTGCAGGCTCCAGGCATGCTAAAGTAAATGCTCTCTCAGAGAACTACATCCCAGCCTAAGGATTTTCTCTTGAAGGTACCTGAAGCACACACTGGACCAGTACGTGGAAAGTGACTACACACTGCTCTACCTGCACCATGGCCTGACCAGCGACAACAAGCCATCCCTCAGCTGGCTGCGGGACGCCTACCGGGAGTTTGACCGCAAGTGGGTTGGCATGTAGTGGGCTTCCGGCCTGGGAGAGGTAGCTCTGAGCTGTCTGCTCAGGCACGAGTCCCACCTAGGTAAACAAGAATTGGAAGTCAGAGGGCCTGGGCTTAAATTCCTGTTTCCCTATTTGCTCTGTAACCTTTCGTGTTACTTAACCTCTCTGAGCATGTTTCCTAATCTGTTAAATGGAGGCAACAGCAGTATTTACTTCATGCACCTGCCATGAGTGGTCAACTCATACTATCCTTTAAGTGCCAGTCCTGTAATCTGAGGCATGAGTATGAGGCTCCCCTGGAGTACACAGCAAAAGCCTATCTGGAAAAAGAAAACCAAGAACCAGTCTTGTGTCTCCTATTCCACCCATTCACAAATTTCCTGTCTTACTACACAGGTACAAGAAGAACATCAAGGCCCTGTACATCGTGCATCCGACCATGTTCATCAAAACCTTGCTCATCCTCTTTAAGCCCCTGATTAGGTGAGCAGACCCCCAGGCTGCTGTCCCTGTGTGTCTCCTTGTCCTGTGAGCAGATGCCCAGGTGACGAGTTAGGGTTAAGCCCCGCCATCTGAGCTGGGAGGGTAAGGGAAGAGCAGCAGCCTGCATGTAACCAGGCTCTTCCCTCCACTGGGCAGCTTCAAGTTTGGACGGAAGATCTTCTACGTGAATTACCTGAGTGAGCTGAGTGAGCACGTGAAGCTGGAGCAGCTGGGGATCCCTCGCCAAGTGCTCAAGTGAGGCCTGGGGCTGGAGCTGCTGGGCGGGGACCACATTTGCCCTCTGACTTGGGTGTGTGTGTTCTGGCAAGATAAGCTGGCTCAGGGATCCCAGGTTAGAGAAGAAAGCCAGTGTCATGATTCAGGCCGCCAGATAGTGTGGGTTAGAGCCAAATCAAAACCAACATTTGGCCAGGCACTGGAGGCTCATGCCGGTAATCCTAGCTACTCTGGAGGCTGAGATCTGAGGATCTGGGTTCAAAGCCAGCCCGGGCAGGAAAGTCCGTGAGACTCTTATCTCCAATAAACCACTAGAAAGCCAGAAGTCGCGTTGTGGCTCAAGTGGTAGAGTGCTTGCCTTTAGCTGAAGAGCACAGGGACAGTGTCCAACCAAGCCCAGAGTTCAAGCTCCATGACCGACATAAATAAATAAATAAGTAAATAAATAAATAAAACTCAGAAAAGGCTGGTAGTGGCACTGTGGCTCAAGTGGTAGAGCACTAGCCTTGAGCAAAAGACACTCAGGGACAGTGCCCAGGCCCAGAGTTCAAGCCCTAGGAACAAAAAACAAAAACAAAAGAAAGAAATCAGAACAAAAAACCCACCTTTGCCACTTGCAAGCTATGTGTATTTTCTTGGGGGGGGGGGGCATGAGGTAGGGTTATAGTAGGTTATAGTAAGGCTTGGGGGGGTGCGTGAGGTAGGGTTATAGTAAGGCTGGGGGGGCGTGAGGTAGGGTTATAGTAAGGCTTGGGGGGGGGGCGTGAGGTAGGGTTATAGTAAGGCTTGGGGGGGGCGTGAGGTAGGGTTATAGTAAGGCTTGGGGGGGGCGTGAGGTAGGGTTATAGTAAGGCTTGGGGGGGGCGTGAGGTAGGGTTATAGTAAGGCTTGGGGGGGCGTGAGGTAGGGTTATAGTAAGGCTTGGGGGGGGTGAGGTAGGGTTATAGTAAGGCTTGGGGGGGGCGTGAGGTAGGGTTATAGTAAGGCTTGGGGGGGGCGTGAGGTAGGGTTATAGTAAGGCTGGGGGGGGGTGAGGTAGGTTATAGTAAGGCTGGGGGGGGGCGTGAGGTAGGGTTATAGTAAGGCTGGGGGGGCGTGAGGTAGGGTTATAGTAAGGCTGGGGGGGGTGAGGTAGGTTATAGTAAGGCTGGGGGGGGGTGAGGTAGGTTATAGTAAGGTTGGTCAGTGAGACTACAGAGCCAGAGGCCTTGATCCTTACCCCCCTTCCCCAGATACGATGACTTCCTCAAATCCACGCAGAAGAGCCCTGCCACGGCCCCCAAACCCATGCCACCACGCCCTCCCCTGCCCAACCAGCAGTTTGGGGTCTCATTGCAGCAGTGAGTACGGGAAGGGTGGGCAGAAGGGCGCAGGGGCTGCAGGGCCTGCAGGGCCTGGCTGGGCTGGTGGCAGACCTGGCTCCCCATGTTGGTTCCCACAGCCTCCAAGAGAAGAATCCTGAGCAGGAGCCCATTCCAATTGTGCTCAGGGAGACTGTTGCCTACCTGCAGGCCCACGGTGAGTGCCACAGCCATGAAACCAGGGGACCCCCAACCTCCAGCTGCCCTGGAGAAGCTCTGGGCAGGGCTGGGAGCCAGCCTCCCTCATTTGGGAACCCGAAGACAGAGAGTGAGCTAAGCAGCTATCATGCACAGAATTTGGAGACTTATCCGGCTCTGTTTTCTTCTCAGCTCTGACCACAGAGGGCATTTTCCGGAGGTCAGCCAACACCCAAGTTGTCCGTGAAGTACAGCAGAAGTACAACATGGGTGAGTGGTCTAGAGGTGTGCTAGGCCCCCAGATCCAGGACTGTGTGTGTGTGTAGGTGTGGGAAGGCATGGTATCACCGTTGGGAGGGCTTCTCTGAATTCTGCTGTCCTGAAAATAAGGTCCCAGCTTCTCTTCCTGTCCGAGGCTTCTGTGGCTTTTGATGTCACTCCATAGGTCCCACTTGTGCCTGGCTGTTCCAGGCCTGCTGCCTCACCTTCAGCCTCTGGGCCCTGATGAGAGGTGCAGAATAACTGAGGTGTGCTCGGGGTTCCTCCACTCTACCCAGCCAGCCCCCGTCACAGGGAAGAGGAGGGCGCAGGTGCATAAGGGGCGCTCTTAGGGAAGCAGAGGCTGAGGGCAAAGTTAGGAAATGGGGCCTTGCCTGGCCTCAGGGATGCTTTCTCATGTGGGTCCTGCTACCTCTCCCTCCCCAGGACTCACAGTGGACTTCAACCAGTACAATGAGCTGCACCTGCCAGCAGTCATCCTCAAAACCTTCCTCCGGGAGCTTCCTGAACCCTTGCTAACCTTTGACCTGTACCCTCATGTTGTAGGCTTCCTCAGTAAGTTCTTCCCTTTTCCCTCCCATGCTTGGTCCAGGAATGAAGGTGGGGGTGGGGTGCTTTCCATCAGTCTATTTGTCCACCATGGCCTGTAAGTCTAGGGGCCAGGGTTTCCCCACTGCCTTGAGTTAAGGCTTCCTGAGCAAGCCCAGCACCCCTGTAACCTGGACCTCGTTCCTCAGACATTGATGAGAGCCAGAGAGTGGAGGCGACACTACAGGTTCTCAGGACGCTGCCAGAGGAAAACTACCAGGTGCTTCGTTTCCTGACTGCCTTCCTTGTTCAGGTGAGACTCCACCTCCACTGCCCACTTGGGGGTGGAGGGAGAGGGGAGGAGGAGCTGTCTTCCCTGGCTGCTGCAGATGGGGTTGCCAGGAGGCGGAGGCAGCGGCTGTGGTTTCCTGCCACATGCCTCCACCCCTGTGCCCTCCACAGATCTCTGCCCACAGTGACCAGAACAAGATGACCAACACTAACCTGGCTGTTGTCTTTGGTCCAAACCTGCTGTGGGCCAAGGATGCTGCCATCACCCTTAAGGCCATTAATCCCATCAACACGTTCACTAAGTTCCTCCTGGATCATCAAGGGGAGTTGTTCCCCAACCCCGATGTCAAGGAGCTCTGAACCCAGCCTCTGCCCACTGAGTACCCCTTCTCTGGCAGTCCCAGTTTGGACTGTTCCTCCTGGTATCAGCGTTACAGGATCCTGGGACCCCCTCCCCCGTCCAGGAAGGGGCAGTGAAGCCCCCCATGGAAATTGTAGCCAACCAACCAGGCAGCTCCTCCTTCCCCTCTGTCTAGTCCTCCTCACCGGCCCTGGAGGCCTTGCTATTATCGTCAGACATTTTCTTCGCCTTATACTTCTCACTGCCTCTCTGGAAGCCTGGCTGCAGCTGAGCTCTGCAGAGCTGGACTTGGCTCTTCATGCGGGAGAAGGACTCACCCCTAGTAACCCTTTTCCTGCTTTCACTTATGTCCGTTTCCCTGGTAACCATGGGGGACTAAATCACTGCCGGCTGGGCTGGTAGCTGGGGCTGGCCCACTCCTTCTTGACCATGTTGAGGTGTCTCCCTGACTGGGTCAGTTGCCCTGATTTTAAAGTCCTATTCGGTATTGGCCTGGATGCAAGTCCCCTGCGCCTTTCCTCCCTGCTAATGGCTCAGCCTTGGATAATTCCACATTGAAGGAATGACAGGACTGGAGTCAGCTTCCTATTTCTGCCTCTTTGATCTGCCTTTGCCAAATAGTACTGCCCCAGTGTGTCTTATCCTAGTTCTGTCTTGGATGACAGAACTTAGAATCTGCATCCACTGAAATAGGGGCCTCCCCTCCTGGGGAGAGCTGTTATGTCGGGATAGGGCCAGGGATGAGCAGGCTCAGCCCTGTGCCTTGCCTGTGTGTTCTCGCATGCGCACATCCTTGGCCATGTAGCTGTGTCTGTGTGGGGTCACACTGGTCCCAGCTGTGGCCAGAGGTGACTTAGTGCCTCCGGATCTACGGTGGCTCCCTCCTCCAGCCTGGGAATTCTTAGAGGAGCAGAGGCTCAGAAGACCCACGGGAGGGGGTAGAGATTTTTATGCTAGATCAGCCCCTGCAGGATGGATTCTGGCAACCTCCCCAAGGGAGAAATGGGGCTCCAGAGCCCCATTATCTTTCGAAAACCTGGACCTCCATAGTGATTGATATTCCTCATCTACTATTTTGATGAGCCCTAGGGGACCCTCTTCATGTAGCTTTGTCCCCTGTAGCAGGGAAGTACCTACAGTGACCCTGCTGCCATAGCCACCACCAGGCAGAACAACTCCAGAGCCTGTAGTATGGGAATCCCCAGTGACTTGCTCCCAGGTGGGGCCAAGCCCTCCCTGGGCTCCTCTCGAGGTGTGCTGGGGCCTGGAGCTGCTGCTGGTTCTGTCAGTCCCTGTGTTTCTCGCTTGGCCCTGGCCTGGGCTGCTCTGCTTTTGCTCTTCTTTGTATAGTAAAGAGCCAACTGCTCTCAGCCCCAGTCACTTGGGGAGCCTTTTGGGTTTCTTTTGTCTCTCTCCTGTCTTTTGCCCCATTGGTCTGTACCGGGGGCACTTGTACTGTGAATCAAGTGTTCACATTCACATTTAATAATTTCCTTGGCACCAATCATGTATTTCACCGTTCACACTTTTTGTATTTCAATAAAAAAATGAAGACCTGCTCTTCTCACTGCTAAGTTGAAGTCTTGAGAATGGAACAGTGGGTGTGGTATGCTTGTGAAATCAGAGGTGCGTTTCTCAGGAAGGTCTCTTCCCCAGTCCATCTGCCCCATCCTCATCTTGTTCACTTGTGAGTTAGTCAGGGCAGCTTGGAAGTGTTAACTGTCACTTTCCACTAGAACTTGGGCTTGAACTCAGGGGCTCACACTTTCTATTTTTTTTTTTTTGTCCATCATGGGGCCTGAACTCTGGGCCTGAGCATTGTCCCTCAGCTCTTCAGCTTAAGGCTAGCGCTCTACCACTTGAGCCAAAGCACCACTTCCAGCTTTTTCTGCTTATGTGGAGCTGAGGAATCGAACCAGGGCCTCATGCATGCGAGGCAAGCGCTCTACCACTGAGCCACTTCCCAGGGGCTCACACTTTCTTCGCTTGCTTAGTCACCTATAGCTGGTGTTCTACCCCTTAATCCAATGCCTCCAGCCTACCTTTTTGCCTGTTGTTTTTGGAGATGGAGTCTCAAGGATTTTTATCTGTCCAAGCTAGCTTCAACTCCCAAGTCTCAGCCTTCTTGAGCAACTAGTGCCCAGCTCATCTTCCACTTTTTGCACCTGTAGCAGCCTGAGGTAAGGCTTCCCACCTGGCTGCATGGAGGCTGCGAAAAATCCAGTTTTCCTTCTTTTAAGCAGATTGTGCTTTAAAGGTTTAGATGCTAAGTTTTGGGTTCAAGCTCTAGCTCAATGGTAGAAAGCCTTAGTATGTCTATGGCTCTGGGTCCAACCCCCAGCACAAAGGCAAGAGGGGGAAAAAGATGACCAATTTTTTTTTAGTCACTGGAGGAGAGGAGAGCAGAATCTCACTTCACATTTGTCAAGGTTAACTTCGAGGTGCTTGCTGTCTATTGTAGTTAGGCAGTTCTAATGGCTCCAGCTGGGCCTTCTTCCCCGTTTGCTCGGGCTGGGGCAGCTCAGCTAGAGCACAGGTTCAGGCAAGGGTAAGATGGTGGTTGTAAACACTGGCCCTGAGTGCCAGGAGTCTTCACTGTACAACTGGGGCCTGCAGCCAGGGACCTCAAGGCAAAAGATATTGGCCATCTCACTAGCTCTGCAAGCTGTAAGCTGGGTGAGGAGAGCATCAAAGCAATCGCACAGGGAAATAGGAGAGGGGAGCCAGAGAGATGGGGAGCTGTGTACTCGAGTTAGGTTCCTGGCGTGGTTTCTGCTGAGTTAGTGTCAGCTCACTAAAGCCTTAGCAGTAGTAGGTCTCTGGGGCGAAGCACAGTGCGGCAACTGAGCACTCTGCTTTTGGAGGTGAGGGTCATTTGGGACAACTCACTATTTCCCACTTAGGGTTTGAGGCAACTGTCCAGCCAGGAGCACCAAAAGCCCTGGAAAGCAAGAGTGAGCTTAGCCCCGTTTCTTCAGTCCAAGGTTTGGTCTAAAGTCAGAATTGTCTGATCTGCTTATTTTTGTGCTGGAGCTTGACTTCAGCATGAAGCCCAGAGAGCAGCTGTGTGGTGCTGGTGCACTTCAGGCTCACGGGCTCTACTTTCAGTTCCTATCACCACCTAAACGAGGCACAAGCCAGGAGAAAGGGCCAGTTTTTGATAGACTGGAGGTGCCTGTAGCTCCTGGGGCCAGGAAGGCCTATCCCCTGGGGCCCTTCTACCCTTCCTAGCTCCCAGAATCCCCAGGGCAGCAAAACAAACCTGTTCAAGTTCCTGACTTCCTGCCACTTCAGTTCCCTTCCTTTCCCTATGTTTGCTTGGTCACAACCCTCTCACTATATTAGCAATTGCTCTGATGTCTTCTGCCTGAAACATTGCAAGGGTCTGCCACCGGTACCTTCACAAATAGGGACCATCTCCCGCAAGCCTGGTAGTGAGCACATTGTATAAAGGGAATAGAGTTGACATTGGCCAACCTCTCAGGGAGATTTTGCTACAAGTTTACCTCATATATACCATTTCATTCACTATTCAAATGTATGACCCTGCCATGTATAAAGAAAATGAAGGTCTGGGGACATGGCTGAGTGGTAGAGTGCTTACCTAGCTAGCATGCACAAAGCCCTGGGTTTGATTCCTCAGTACCACATAAACAGAAAAAGCCCAAAGTGGAACTGTGGCTCAAGTGGTAGAGCACTAGCCTTGAGCAAAAGCAGCTCTGGGTCAGTGCCCCAGGCCCTGAGTTCAAGCCCCATGACTGGCAAAAGAAAAACAAAAGGCTCTCTAGAAGCTTCCTGACCAGCCCAAGGCTACCTGTGTTCAGCGGTCAAGCCCCAAGGGCTTTTTGCACTATAAAAATCCCCCATGTTGGGGCTGGGAAGGTGGCTCAGTGGTAGAGCGCATGCCTTGCATGCCAGAGGCCCTGGGTTTGATTCCTCAGCACCACATAAGCAAAAAGAAAAAAGCCGGAAGTGGTGCTCTGGCTCAAGTGGTAGAGTGCTAGCCTTGAGCTGAAGATCTGAGGGACAGCGCCCAGGCCTAGAGTTCAGGCCCCATGACTGGACCCAAAAAAAAAAAAAACCCCCCATGTTTCCTTTTTCATGGAGCCTGCTGGTGACCCAGACATGCAGAGAGGCAGGAGGCAATTTGCAGAGGGAGTTGTAGAGAAAAAAACTTTTTATTGGAAATCTCTTAGATACATTTTAAAGTGTAGCTAAGTTGGAGTACATTGAAGGAGGGCCTCTGCCACCCCGAAGCTGATGACTGGTCCCAGTCCGTGCCCAGGGGGCTGCAGGAGTCAAGTCTAGAGCTCATTCTTTCCATTGTGTGGGGCTGAGGGGCCAGGGCCACCTTACTGGTTGCCTTGCTTCTCCCAGGATCAGTGAGGTCTCAGCCTTCCTGAGGCAAGTCTTGGAGAAAGGCTGCACCCTGCAAAGGCTTACACCAAAGGTATCAGACTGTCTTGGGCCAGTGGTAACAGGCCTTCCATGCAAGGTCTGAGACTGCAGCAGCTGAGATGAGGGCTTTAGTCACTTACTAGGCCCTTCCTCCTCAGCACTGGTCCAGGGACCAAATCTGGTTCAGCAGGCCACGGATGTGTCCTGGCCCAAAGACAGGAGGGCTAGTTGGTCACCAATGCTGGCAGCAGAGATATGCACAGGGCTCCCCTCTAGAGCGCACTCCGGACTTCAGAAGTCAGCCTTGTGTAGGTGGGAACAGCTTTACATGCAGTTCATGAACAAGCATTGAGAGGCACCTGCTCCACCAAGCCTCAGCTACTGCCAAGGAGTACCCAGGGCCCAGGAGGAACAGGGCAGGCTGGTTCTTCTTGCCCAGCTGCCAGTCAGGCTGGAGAGGGCAGATAGTGAGGCACTTGACTTACTCAAGTAATAATACCTGAAGGGTTAAGTCAATCACATGCCCAGCTTTGGTTTCTCAACAGGGAACCATATCCAGCTCATAAACCCAGGGCAGTATACTATGAACAAACCATGGGATTAAAGAGAGGTGGTGACCAGGCCCAAGTAGGAGGAAAAGCTCCATAGTCCAGCCCCCAAGGATCAGGAGCTCCAGAAGGACACACACAATGCCACTTAGGCATGGCATATATGCAACTCTGAGGAGTCATCACATTTAGCACCCCGAGACTTCCTGGCTGCCAGAATGGAGGCTGAGACTGAGGGCAATGACAGTGCTCACCAGGAGTCTGCGGGTGTGCAAGGGAATGCCTGCTGTCAGCTCAATGCAGTTTTAGGAGGGTTAGTTGGCCCTTGCCAGCCCTTTTATTGGATCTCACCTTCAATGCAATGGCAAGGAAGATCTCCAAGCAGCATCCCAGATCCTGAGGAACCTCCACAGGAGGCCTCTGTCCCAGGAAGAGGCCCGAGCCTTCCCCGAGTGAAATATCTAACCTCAAACATATTTTCTCTATAAAATATCTGATTTCTCTGAAGTAATAAATATTTACCATGTCCTCTAACCAAGGAGCAGCAATGTGTGTGGGGGGGTGGGGGGGTGATATTTGCTGTGGTTTTCAGTAATAGCATCTTACACAAAGTTTGGAGTTTTCCCATGGAGCTGAGGGCCTGAATACCTGTAACTACCAGGGCAGATCAGACTTCTGGTTAGGGACAGAACAACCTTGTAGAAGGGTGGTGGGCTTTGGAGTTTGTGTCATTTTGGGCAGACAGGCCTGTCATATTGCCAAGAGTACATGTGAGATGGAGAGAAAGGGAGGGGGAGAGAGAGAGGGAGATTGGCGGGGGGGGGGGGGGGGGGAACCCAAGAATTAAAGGAAATACCTAGAGAGCCTACAGGATCCTCCTCCCTTCTTCCTCCCCAACATGTTCTCCTTCTTTCTGCCTTGCTCCAGCCTCTGGGCCACTAGCTGGAATGTCAAATGGTTGATGGTAAGAGCAGGCAGGCAAGGGACCAGCCAGCTTCAGGGCAGACCTAGGCAGGAGGCTGGAGCAACAGGAACTAGGTGACATCCTTTGTGAAATAACTGATAATGACCGGTGAACGTGGGTGGGTGGGTGGTTCTGCTGAGGCCCATTAACCCAGGTCTAGCTGAAAGGCCTGGAGGCAAGCCCTTCTACCCGCAGTTACTAGGCTTCACTGCCACCATGGAGTCTCAGGATGGTCCAAGAGCAGAGGCTTCTGGGTCCCCATGGGGAACCATTCTGGAAGCAGCATGAGGGAAGGGAGTAACTGAGGAGTGAGGGTCTCTTAGCCCCCTGGGACCACAGGGATGCTGCTGGTACTCAGGACATTTTTTTACTGCAGGGTTTCTACAAAGGCATCAAACTCGCGGACGTTCTTCTCATGCACAGCCAGCCTCTCTGGTAGTGAATCCTGTACCAGAAGAAGAGAAGAAGGGCTTAGTCAGGCCTGGGAGAGGCACCAGTCAGTCCCTGAGAGCGAGGAAGAGAGTAAGACAAAAAGTGTTGTTGAGCAGTGCTAGCTGAGCAGAAGGCAGGATGGCAGGGTGGCCATCACGATGGGGGAGTGGACATGTCCTCAGGGATTTGTGGAGTCTGTAGGGCCACACACTCTATAAAGATTAAAACAGGCTAAGAACTGCAAAATTAAACACAAACGGTGGTTGGCACAGATCACCAACAGTAGGATGAAATTGCAAGATCAGAGCACCATGGCTCAAGTCAAGTTTAAGAAAGCTTTTTCATGCCCTTTCTGAGCATATATGCCCTGGAAGAAAAGGGACAAAGTAGCCATTGCAGCCCCTAGACTGATGTGGCAGGTCTGTGAGAGGCCTGGCACCAACACCTTCACACTGGCCAGCTGAGGCTGAGGGGTCAGTAGCAAAGAGAAGCAAAGAAAAATAGCTGTGACAAACTAGCCTGCTGTCATATCCAGCTATGGATAAAGATCTCACTGTACTGAAGTAGTCGGTCACCATTAGGACTAAGCAACAGAAAGCAATCTGTAGGGTTCAACCACCTCAGGGAGATCTGCTGATGGTGGAGTTATGCATAAGGGACTTGGGAGAAGGTGGAAACTCTCCAGCATTAGATCCTCAAGTAGGCCACAACCCTGACAGCAGTGGTGGGTCTGGTCACAGCTGCCAGGCAGACCTGGGAAGCAGCTAGCACTGGCTGTGATCACACAGAGAGTACTGGGACCTAGATTCTTTCAGTGCACAGGTCACATGAGATTGGTGATTGGTGGTCAGATTGCCAAGCTCAGAAAGGCAGGCCATCTGGGGTCAAAACTATTTTGCCTGGTTCTATGATCTTGGCAAGTTAATCACAGAGTTTTTTCTTCTGTTAATTGGAATAATAAAATCCATGTTTTTTTTGCTGCTGAAAGTCATATTAAAACCCAATAAAAATGCTTGTCAGGGGCTGGAAATTCAACTCAGTGACTGACAGCCTGGGCATGTGCCCAGCTCATGGTCAACTCCTAGCTCCATGAAAGAGGGGTGGGGAGAGAGAGAGAAGAAGGAAGGAAGGAAGGAAGGAAGGCAGGCAGGAAGGGAAGGAGGGAGAGAAGGAAGGAGGGAAGGAGGGAGGGAGGGAGGAAGCGGGGGAGAGAGAGAGGGAAGAAAAAAGGAAAGAAAGAGGACGAGACGAAGAAAGGCCTGGTGCTTAGACAGCCCTGGTAACTGTAAAGAATAATTAGTGGTAGTATTTCTGTTTCATTACTACAAAGGAGGGTTTTCTGTAATCAAATTAAGGGCAGCTCCTCTGAAGGCCTCTAATTTCTGTAATAGTGAGAGTCCCACCTCTGACAGGGGGACCTTGCAGACAAGACAACCCAATCTGTCATATGACTTGATCACTAGGTGAGGAGGATGTCGGGATAAACTCCATCAAGCAGTCATCCCCACAGTGCACTGATGTCCACAAGTGACTCTCCTGTGCCAGGTCAGACCAGGTTAGTGACTTGTGCAAGCCACTCTTTTGCTTGCTTCTCAGAGGCAGGAAGTAGGCAATACTCTAAGCAGACATGTGGTAATAAAATCCATCTTAGAATGCTTGGCCAGGTATGAGAACAGCTTGATGCAGGAGGGAGCTCTCCGAGGAAAGCAAGATCACTGGTCTTCAGGACCTACATGCTCCTGTGCCCTGCACCATGGTCTGCCTGGTAGAAGATGGGTATGGCCAGAGTGTGCAAGTAACAGTAACACAGAGAATATGTAGTGCAAAGGAAAACTGAGCTCAAGCAAATCTAAGAAAACAATCAGTGAGTACCACTGGTGTATCTCAAGATTTGTTCCTAAAGTAAAACAAGGACAATGAAGGCAGAGGGGTAGGGAGAACAGAAAGCAAGTTCTAGGTCTACAGTACAGGAGGAATGACCATTGGTGAGGAAGCGGAGCTGGGTGGGGAGTTGGAGGGGGGAAGTCCATACCAAGTCTTCAGCCATGGACTGGGCTCCAATATCTATGGAAAGGCTGCTCAGCTGAGGAGGGTTCTGAAATTCACGATAGAAAGTCCCCAAGTCCATTGGAAGAATGTCATCTTTAGAAAAAGCAGGTTTCTTCAAAACAAAACACATACACACACACAGATTTGAATTAGCTTGCCTTGGTTTACAAAGAAAAATCAGAGGAGATAAGCTATGAACAAAGAAAAGCTTCTTCCAGACTTATCTGAGGGAGAAGAATCTTTACACCTTGCTACAGATGTCTAATCCGGGTCCCTCCCTGGCTAAGTTCATGTCCTCTTCAATTCCTTCCCTGAATCAAGGGCTATCCACTAGGCATGAATAGGACTTTTAAGTGGATACCTCTTGACCCCAGTTAAGATTTTATTATGAATTTCACCCAAGGCATGGCATAATACCTTACTACTCATGGGCCTTTGTCTCCCCAGACATCCACCGCCCTATCCCATCTTTACTGATGATCCCTGGGAAAGATCTTGTTCAAGTGCAATAAATGCACGGGGGTTTGCTTGTCCTAGAACAGCACAGGTGAAGGGAGGGGAAGGCCACTTACGAAGTCAATCATCACAAAGTCATCATGCGCATTGCCACTGCTGCCTCCACTGGAGCCATTGGAGTGCAGGCTGCCATGGAGAGGAGATGCTGTCTCTGGGGACTCGGGAGGATTTACCTGGTTCAAAATAAGGCAGAGTCAGGGCTGAGTCTGTGAACTGGACCCACATCACTATGAGCCAACTGAGAGGTTTGTGTAAGAAACTTAGTGCTGGCTGTAGATGCAGAAGCCAAGGGGCCTAGCTTGCGGTCTGTGGAGGCCCAACCAGGATAGTGACTACTGCACCATCTACTGGAAACTGGCAGTCACAGGTGGGCTCACCATAGGATCGGCATCTTCCAGCTCCAAATTCTTGGGAGCAAACATGGCAAAAGGTATGTCCAAACTTGTCAGAGTCACCTGAAGAGACAGGAGAGAAGCATTCGTGCCGGCCCCTCCCCTGACTCATGCTTACAGGCTGTCAAAAGTCAGCAGAACAGCAGGTTCCAACACTTCAGCTGACCCCACAACCTCCTTGTCTCCCTGTCCCCCATATCACATAAGCCCACAGAAGAGAATCCTGAGAATTCAGCTGGGTAAGTTTGAGCCACACCAATGCTGTGTCACTGGGCCTACAGAAGAGGAACTTCTATTCCAAAGTAAGGCAGTTTGTGAACTAAATAGTGTCCAGCCTGTCTCCCTAGGGGTTGTTGAAAGTTCTTAGTCTTCTTCACATTAAAACTTTCACACTTAGACACACACACACTTGCAAGCATTTTCAGTAGTTCCTTAAGATGCTGCCCATAGAGCCTTACTCTAAGGACATTCTCACAGGTGGCAGTGGCAAAGTCACCTGATTGATGGGTTTGTTGACAAAGGCTCCCACTTTTCGGACAAAGATGGTTTCTAGGACATCATGTGGGGAGGCCCGTCCCTCGCTGCTGTTAGATACAGTTTCAGCATCCTCACTAGGGAAGAAAGGGACAGTGAGTGCTCAATTCTCAAGCCACAGCACAATGACTTGGTTTCTCCCCTACATCCACCCTCTTGTGGGACTGTGGCCTGAGCAGGCTTCAGGTCCCACCACCCATGTAGGACATAGCACCATGTGTTTGTGCTGCTGCCAGTGTCCCCTGCCTCATGAGCTGACAGGAGACTGTACTTGCTGGGAACAACTAAAACTTATGCACATGATGAAACTTCTCGTTAAAATTGTGTCAACTTACAAAAAGCTGAACTGAAACACTAGTAATGTACATCGCTTAGCAGGCACAGAGAAGTCAGACACGGGACAACAACTCTAATAAACTGCCAGTTTAGTATTACAGAACTAAGCCCCACATTTTAGATTTTCTTCTTGTTCTATACAGAAGATTGCATACATACATACATATATGTATATATATATATATATATATATATATATATATTTTTTTTTTTTTTTGGTCAGTTGTGGGGCTTTGAACTCTGGGCCTGGGGGCTGTCCTTCAGCTTTTCAGCTCAAGGCTAGCACTCTATTGAGCCACAGTACCACTTCCAGTTGTCTGAGTGGTTTACTGGAGATAAGAGTCTCACTGCCTTTTCTGCCAGGCTGGCTTTGAACCATGATCCTCAGATCTCAGCCTCCTGAGTAGCTAGGATTACAGGCATGAGGCACCAGTGCCTGGGTAGAAGACTGTATATTTTATAAGTACAACATTAAATTCAAGTCTACCACATGAAGTGTCCATTTAAAGTCAATAGTCCCACATTTGAGGCCTTAGCCAGACAGAGCTCTCTCCATCCTTGGTGAACTGCCTGGGTCCAGATTTCTACATTCTTGCTCATGTTTTCTCTCTCCACGCCCCTGCCCTGTGTCAATTATCCCTTCTGGACTGATGCTGAGTCCTGTATGTCACAGCGGCTCTGAGCAGCAGAAACTGGGCTGCCAGTGGTTGCCACCCAGCGGTAACAGAAGGCTCTAGCCTCTGGCCAAAAAAGCGGGCTCAAGGTGAACAGGACTACATAAGGTGATCTCCCGGAATCTAGGTAGCAAGGGGACCAGCACTAAGGAAAGGTTTCTAAGCTCTTAAAACCTTTAGCTCAGAACCCCTATCCAGGGTCCTTGGTCTCTAGCTACTTTTAGACATGACCCTGGAGGTGAGGCTCAAAATGGGAGTGTAAAATGACTAACATTTTCCTTTAAGTAAGGACAAAAATGGAAATTTGAAAAACCAAAAATGGAGTCTTCTTCCTAATGACATACAAACACAAAAGTCTCCCCAAGCAATTCTGCTCTTACCACTTCACTGTGGGAAACAAACAAACAAAAATTTCTACAATGAGAATTTTCATTTAGGATGTGTGTGTGTGTGTGGGGGGGGGGGTGGCACCCATTATCTCCAGTGCCTTCCAAGGGGAGAAGAGGCGCAGAGCAGGACAGCTTGCAGCACATTCCCAGGGAGGAACACAGCTATGCAGTCAGGCTGCACTAGGTGACCTTGGGCAAAATCAGTGAGCCCTCCTGAGGTTGTTATTCATTCATTTACTCATTCAGTCACTCATTCATTCATTCACAGTGCTGGAATGAAACCAGATCTCATGTGAACTAGGCAAGGACTCTACAATTCAGCTATACTACAGCCCTCTCATCTTGAAAAAGGAGGTAGCAGTGGTCATTTTTTTCTTTGGGTGTGTGTGTGGGGGGGGGTACTATGGTTTGAAGTCAGGGCCTTGAGCTTACTAGGCATGGACTATACCAGATTATACTGCTGACCCATGCCTCCAGTCCCAAAGAAGTGATTTTTGATAGTGAAAATGTGAGAATTTTTACTTGCAAATTATGAAGACCAAATCATGGTCTTCATCGCTTACATTTCATAGACTGTTATCACTCCAGTGATCTGAGAGAACAATGGTATAATTTCTTCCTTTGTCCTGGGGCTTGAACTTAGGGCCTGGGCACTGTCCCTGAGCTTCTTTTGCTCAAGGCAAACACTCTACCACTTGAGCCACAGCACCACTTCTTGCTTTTTCTGTTTTTTTTCTGTGATACTGAGAAATCGAACCCAGGGCTTCATGCATGCTAGGCAAGCACTCTACCACTAAGCTACATTCCCAGCCTATCCTCACTGGCTTTGACAGTGCAGAGCCACAATGGAGACTCACCTGCTGGAAGGGGTAACGGCACAGTGGATCCCATCCGAAGGTGTGTGAGTTGCCAATCTTTCCTGGTCAGCCTGGGCGCCATGAGTAGGCTGGGTGGGAGCAAGGGGTACCCCACCTTCCTTCCCCGGAACCATGAGCTTTGGGGGAAATGGAAAGATACAGTGAACCACTGCCACAGGGAAACCTCACGTCCTAGCTTGTTAGTGTCTGCTTTCGAGCTTTCCATCACAGTGCCACCACCTGGCGGGCAGACATCCTGGATCTTTCTGCTCTGGGATGTGGCTACTAGAAGACATGCATGGTAATGACTACAGAGGGAGAAGCAAAGAGGAAGAAAAACCCCAGGAAAATCATCTTTCCTTTTTGAAGATGGTTCCTTCCTCTCAGAGTCACTTCCATCATCCAAAGAGCCTTGTTTCCAAACAGTACACTACAGGTATCTGAAGAAGTCCCTTAACCGCTCCAGGGCAGGGAGGTAGCCCTGGAAAGCCCAAGGTCCTCCCCATCTTTAAGGTACCTGGTGAGGGTGTGGAGCATTTAAGCCAGCAGCAAACACTACCGGATAAGCCAGGTCAGCTGATCCAAGGCCCAGGACTGCAGGCTGATAGGAAAGGCGAGAGCTTGAAAGCTGAGCAAGAAAAAAACAGGGGGCAGAGGAAAGGCAGGAAAAAATAGGCAATCCTAGTGTGACAAATGATGGAGCTCTGCAGAAATGTAAGGAATGGGTCCAGGCCCACAGGTCTATAGCACAGGAGCCTGGTGAGACATATGACAAGGTAGGCCAGGCTTTTTAGACATCTCTTGGATAAGAAAACAAGAGGCTTGCTTGTACTGGGATAGGGATTCCCAGTCTGGAGCCTCCCAAAGGCCTCAAATGAGCTCCTTGCTTCCTTGTTCCCAGGGGCTCAGCTTCTGTTTTGAGCCCAGCAGATCCCCAGGGAAAGACCCGGGGCCAAACTTGGAGCCAAAGTCATCAGTTTTTCCAAAGTCATTCTATTTTCTCCTTTGTCCTTGAGGTCCCTTTGAAATAGAAGGCCATCTTCTCTAATCACACCCTCTATCACCCCTGGGTATGGAAGGGTTCCTATTTATATTGAAAAAAAAATAAGAACACCAGTCTTGTTTATTTGAAAATCTGATATAAATAACTCCATGTATTTTTCACATCAACGGAAGAAGGAGGGGCAAATGAATCCCCTATTTTGGGCCGCTGGCCTGTGGCTGTCCTGTTAAAATCAATTACAGAGCCTCAAAATAATCCCTCAGGGTACTTGGGGACATTTAAATAACTATCCATTTTGCTCTGTCTCCATTTTTTAAAGAGAAGGAAGCCATCTGATCATTCCCCTTTTACCCATTATGAACTCACATGATGGGCAAAGGCCAGTCCTGCCATGGGGACCCTCAGAGCGTCCGTCACCACAGGAGTAGGGGTCTGAAAATGTGCCTTTGTGACAGTAAACACACACTGTGCAAAGACACACACAGAGACAGGAGAAACAAGAGAAGAGAAAAGGGACTTGAGAAAGAAATGAAACACCAGCAGGGCGGCAGTGAGAGGCTAGAGAGACAGTGCTAACTTAGGAGTGTGGCAAGGGGAACAATGCATACTGGCTTCCCAAAGGGACAACTTTGGGAAGCTGGGTCCCTGGAAGTGACATTTATCCCAGCATGGGTCCTCCATCCTGCCCCCCAAACAAGCAGTTGAAAACTCAAGTTGACTCAAGTGGGTAGGATCTGGCAAAACAGAGACATCTGAATCATTCATTAGTCTGTCTTTTGTCAAAAACTGGGTGGGAGGAAGCCATTGAACAGCTTCTAGGAGGAAGGACCTGAGTGCAGGTGCAAGGTAAACCCAAGAGGAATGAAAATGCTGGGATTGTTACATTACACAGCAAGCCTTTTCAGGGGCCCACAATGTGCAGGTGGACACTTTCCTACATGGTGCCAGGAAAGATGAGAGGGTGTGCAGAGTATGTGCGCGTGGGCATGCAACTGTATTCCTAGAGTCTTACAATATGGGAGAACTTGCAAGTAAAAAATCCCTCCAAAAAAGTCAACATTTCAAAGCAACTTATGAACATGGTGATTATTGGAAGTATGGCTGCTTCAGCTTTAAATCTGACCAATTAGCTAATCAATGCTTAGAATCAGATGAAGACTGTAGGACATACTAGCAAGTTCAGGGTCACAACTATTTCATGCCTGTATCTGATTGACACAATGATCCTTATTTTGTGGGCAAATCAAACAACATTGTTAAACATGTATTTCCTGGATTCCAGCAAAGGCTGAGTAGAAGTTGTTAAATAACTATGTAACTCAGGCTGGGAAGGTGGTTCAGTGGTAGAGCGCTTGCCTTGCATGCCTGAGGCCCTGGGTTCAATTCCTCAGCACCACATAGGCAAAAAGAAAAAAGCCGGAAGTGGCACAGTGGCTCAAGTGGTAGAGCACTAGTCTTGAGCTGAAGAGCTGAGAGACAACGCCTAGGCCCAGAGTTCAGACCCCACGACCCGACCCAAAAAAAACAAAAACAAAATATAACTATGTAACTCGTAGGATTATACTAAGGAAGAAAGTTAATAGCAACAGGAAATGAGGCGTATTTTCTGTACCAAACTCTACCAGCCTTGATCAGAGCTACTCAATGCTTACTATTGAAGTGCATATATTGTTGATGAAATCTTGCCATGATCTAGTTCATGTTTTATTTTTTTGCTTTTTTTTTTGTTTTTTGTTTTTGTTTTTGCAGTCCTAGGGATCAAACTCAGTGTCTCAAACATGCTCTATTCACTAAGACACCCCAGCCCCTATATATGATTTGGTTTTGTTTTGGTGGTACTGGAGCTTGAACTCAGGGGTTTATTAGCAAGCACTCTACCTATAACTTCATTCCTTTTTGTTTTAGTTCTTTTTGTAATAGGATCTTCAAGTTTAAGTAAAGGTCAGCCTGGACCATGATTCTGGACCCATGTAAGGTCTCTCAAACTTTTCCTGGGCTGGTCTCAATCCACAATCCTTGAGACCTTGCCTCATGAGTAGCTATTATTACAGTGTGAGCCACTGCGGCTGAGCCATGATTTAGTTTTAAACCATAACGACACAACTGGCAATGGTTATAATGAGAAAGACTCTCTTTATATATACCAACAGACTTATGTAACCATCAGGTATAGAAGCTATTTAACATGCATTCTAACTTTGGGGCTAAGTTGTTATGGCCAAGCCTTACCATCCCTCATAGCTCCTGAACCACAATTGCATCTGTTTATGAACTTATCATTTACAAAATAAAACTGTTTAATGAACTCAAATTTGATATACATACATTCTGGTTGGCTAACCTCTCCCCCAAAAGCAAACAAACAAACAGACAAGATACTTTCCATTCATGCACTGGTAAGCAAATGAGCCTTAGGCCTCAGTGTACACCTGTAATCTCAGTTACTTGGGAGGCAGATACTGAGAGGAATGAAGTTCAGTGTCAGCCCAGACAAAAAGTTAGCAGAACCTAACTCAATCCGAATTAAGCCAAGTGTGATAGTATGTATCTGTAACCCCAGATTCTGTGGGGCATAAGCTGGTTCACAGTCTGAGGCCAACTAGGGCAAAGATGGGAGACTAATAGAAAAATAACTAACGCTAAAGAGGGCTGGAGTGTGGCTCCCATGGTAGAATACTTGCCTAGTAAGCACAAGATCCTGAATTGAAACTCCCCATTTTTTCACACATCTTTATTTTTATCAGTAAGCTGTGCTGCTGCTCATGTCCACATATATTCATGAGGGGAGAGGCTCAACCCTCCCCTCCCAAACCAAAGTATCTGGACCACCTGAGAATAAAAATCTCTTCTACTGTAGCTGTTTCTTGTGGGTGGCAAATTTAAGGCCAGCTTGTGCTACGCAATAAGACCCTGTCTCAAAAAATAGAATTGTGAGCGCCGGTGGCTCTTGCCTGTAATCCTAGCTACTCAGGAGGCTGAGATCTGAGGATCGTGGTTCAAAGCCAGCCTGGGTAGGAAAGTCCGTGAACCTCTTATCTCCAATAAACCACCAGAAAACTGGAAAGGGCATTGTAGCTCAAGTGATAGAGCGCTTGCCTTTAGCTGAAGAGCTGAGGGACAGTGCTCAGGCCCAGAGTTCAAGCCCCATGACCACCACCAACAACAAAAATAGAATTGTGTGTGTGTGTGTGTGTGTGCGTGCACACATGTGAGCACATGCACATACATGCTAACTGGGGATTGAACCAAGGCCCTCCCACAGGCAAGGCACATGCTCTACCATTGAACAACCTCCAGCCTTAGCACAAGCCTCCTTTTTAGGACAGATAAGAGTGATCCATGGATTTTGCAATCTTATTCACAGATATTTAGCTTGTTTTGGGAGATGTATTTTTTAAATTTTCATAACTAAAGTAATATAACAAATGAAAAGTTACGATGAGCTGATAAATTTGTTGTGTCCACTAAATAAGGCAGTCAAGGGAATAATCTGGACTGGGCAGGTGTGGAAGAAAAGAAAGCCTAAGGGAAGAGGCTAATGGGTATATTGGGCAGAGCCTGCCCAAGAAGGCAGAAGATAAAGGACTGGGGTGAAGGGTAAGCAAGGCTGTTCTGAGGACCCAGCTCAATCCCAGTCCATTACACATGCTTCCTCCTGGGAAGCTGAGGCCATCAGGAGCCTGTGTCTTACTGAAGTTGCCTGGGCTTACCACTAAAGGCTGACTCAAGTGGGAAATTTAATGACTGAAATGTTTGTGCCAATTATTGATTGACATTATTGCTTTCTTACTGGCATTTTATTTAGTATAAAAGAGCTCTTTTAGAAATAAAACTTACTAATTCAAAGGAGAATTGTATTAACAAGTGTGTGTGAGAGTAGGGTATTTCGCTGGTGTGAGAATGCACTTGGAATTCTGTGACTTGTTTTCTAGGGAAATGGAAGATGATACTGGGAAGGGAAGGCAAAGGCTACATGTATACTGTGGGTTTTAGAACGGTTAGACTAGAAACGCTGCATACTTACCTTCTAGGTAAGGCTTTCTGTCACTGCTCAACCCTCTCCAAGCATTCGCCATCAACAACAGGAACACCACAACATAAGCCCACACCAAGTAAGTGCCACCATCTCAGAGCTGTTTCTCCTTACCTGGGAGGGAGGGGATGTGGAAAAAGAGGTGGTACACACTTCTTGAGAGTCTTCCACTGATGGATATGTTACTCCAGCATCCTCACCTGCAGTTCTAAAATGAAGAAAATGAAACAATGAATTTTAAGGTAATGGCATTAACATCAGAAAATATATAATAGTGGTTAAATAAGGCTGGGGAGTTATATCAAGAACTGTTTCAAGCTGGGCGTGGCGGCTCACGCCTGTAATCCTAGCTACTCAGGAGGCTGAGATTTGAGGATCGTGGTTCAAAGCCAGCCCGGGCAGGAAAGACCGTGAGACTCCTATCTTCAATAAGCCACCAGAAAACCAGAAGTGGCGCTGTAGCTCAAGTGGTAGAGCGCTCGCCTTGAGCTGAAGAGCTGAGGGACAGCGCCCAGGCCCAGGATTCAAGCCCCACGACCGACCAAAAAAAAAAAAAAAAATTGTTTCAGGTAGAGTTCAGAACGCCAGATTGGAAAACCAATCAATTTTCTTAGAATATTCCATAAACTACAGGTACTCTTGTAGTCTTCAAGTAACTTGCTACAAAGGAAATTCATATCTCTACCACCAAAACCCAAATGCCCCAGAATTTTGAAACATTCTGTGAATCAGAACCAGACAACAGCAGTAAGGGAAGCTAAGCTCTTCCCTTCTATTTTTGAGGCAAGTAGCTATTTTTGCCTGGCTGCAGGTTGAGAGAGTGCCTTTCACATTCCTCACCTGTAATTGCAGGGGTGCATGGGAGAGGAGCTAGGATAGGGACGGTCCACAAAGTGATCAATGATAATCCCCATGATAGGTGGGGTTCTCTCAAATTGCCTGTAATGCAGTAAGAAAATTGCAATATTTGTTAAAATTCCTTCCCAGCCCCCATGAAGTCTTCAGAGGACCCTTCACATTTAGCAGGCACCACTGCCTTAACTAATGCAATCTCTAAATACAGACCATAAACTCTACATTCCCGATAAGCTGGCTCTGGGACACTCAAATTCTCCAATCTGACAACTATGTACTCACTCACTCACTTGCTCTCATTCTCTCACACTCTCTATTTCATTCTTCTGAAGGTGTTCTTTAGCAAAGCTGAATGGTAAATTAATCTGAGCTCCCAGGAAGGCAGGAGCTTTATCACCCTGGAAGAGATCAAAGGGCCCTCCCTCACCTGGTAGACATGAATGCCAAATTAATTCTGTAAGCACAAGAAAGAGTGATGGTACCAACAGGGGTACCCACTGTCCCAACACGAACCGTCTGGAAGCCTAGAAGAAGAGACAAATTATTAGCTTTTGTCCAGAGAATACCATGGACTCTTTACAGTCTATTGTACAGTTTCCCACTTAGCACTTTAAATGCCATAGTCGTGTGTGTGTGTGTGTGTGTGTGTGTGTGTGTGTGTGTGTGTGTGTGTCCCTTTCAATTTGTTCTATAAGGAGTGAATATAGCAGAGAAAAATAGCACTGTACTTCCAGGTAAAACTACCTGAGCTAAGAGCTAAAAAAAAAAAAATTGATTTCTTAGAATTTCTTTTCTTTTTTTTTTTCTGTTGGTCATGGGGCTTGAACTCTGGGCCTGGGCGCTGTCCCTCAGCTCTTCAGCTCAAGGAGAGCGCTCTACCACTTGAGCTACAGCGCCACTTCCGGTTTTCTGGTGGTTTATTGGAGATAGGAGTCTCATGGTCTCTCCTGCCCGGGCTGGCTTTGAACCACGATCCTCAGATCTCAGCCTCCTCAGTAGCTAGGATTACAGGCGTGAGCCACCAGCGCCAGGCGAGTTCTTAGAATTTCTAGAAAATAACTCAGTTAATGTGACAGCTTCTTAGACCACCTATATGTCTTCACATCTTTTCCTTACTTTGTTACCAGCTATGTATCATTACAGGTAGCAACCAAGCCCATCTCTGAAGTTAGGAATGCTCTTTCCTTTTTCTTTCTTTTTTTTCTGGCGGTCATAGGGCTTGAACTCCGGGCCTGGGCACTGTCCCTCAGCTCTTCAGCTCAAGGTGAGCCCTCTACCACTTGAGCCACAGTGCCACTTACGATTTTCTGATGGTTAACTGGAGATAAAAGTCTCACAGACTTTTCCTGTCCAAGCTGGCTTTGAACCACAATCCTCAGATCTCAGCCTCCTGAGTAGCTAGGATTATAGGTGTGAGCCATTAGCACCCAGCTATTTATTTTTATTTTTTGCCAAGCATAGGGCTTGAACTCAGGACCTGGGCACTGTCCCTGAGCTTCTTTTGCTCAAGGCTAACACTCTACCACTTGAGCCATAGTATCACTTCCAGCTTTTTCTGGTTATGTGGTACAGGGCTTCATGCATGGTAGGCAAGCGCTCTAACACTAAGCCATATTCCCAGCCCAAGAGTGCTCTAAATACTGCAAACGTTTTCTGATCCAGACACATACCTTCTCCTAAGCCATTCAACTGAACTTCCCCAAAATATATCCTGTAGAGAAGAAAGAAAAAGAAATGTTACCTGCTTCTTTATTCTCAAGGCCTCTATAGACCAAATTCCTACAAACAAGCCCATCTCTGCAGGAACATCTTGCCTGAAAGAGCAGTAATGCCACTAAGCACCTCAATTAAGTTACAGGCAAAAAGAAGCATATAAAGGTATAAGACTAAGAAATAAGGAAAATAACAAGAGAAAACAGCAACTTTTTTCTTCCCTCTGCTACTACAATATGTATTATTTCCTAGTAGGTATGCCTATTATGAAATAAACAACATTAATAAAATTAGAAAATAATGCTGCGATTACTACTAGAAGGTGCTGGATTGTTTTTAAAAAAATTTTTTTTTGAGCCGGGTGCCGGTGGCTCACACCTGTAATCCTAGCTACTCAGGAGGCTGAGTTCTGAGGATCACGGTTCAGTCAGCCTGGGCAGGAAACTCTGTGAGACTCGTATCTCCAATAAACCACTAGAAAACCAGAAGTGGTGCTGTGGCTCAAACGGTAGAGTGCTTGCCTTGAGCTGAAGGACAGCGCCCAAGCCCAGAGTTCAAGACCCATGACCGACAAAAGAAAAAAATAAAATAAATTTTGAGACAGGTCTTGCTGCTCCAAGACAGGTCCAAGCTGGCTTTGAACTTGAGATCCTCCTGCTTCAACCTGCCAAGTTTTGGAATTATAGGCATATACCATCACATCTGAGTTATAAATAAATAAAACATGATTCCCAAAACTCTTAGCTTTTTTTTTTTTTTGGGTCCACTCGTGGGGCCTGAACTCTGGGCCTGGGCGCTGTCCCTCAGCTCTTCAGCTCAAGGCTAGCGCTCTACTACTTGAGCCACAGCGCCACTTCTGGCTTTTTTTCTTTTTGCTTATGTGGTGCTGAGGAATTAAACCCAGGGCCTCAGGCATGCAAGGCAAGTGCTCTACCACTAAGCCACCTTCCCAGCCCCAAACTCTAGCTTTTTAAGGCCAGCTATGTTACCATAATTTAGATGTATATGCTTCACAAAAGGTTTTTGAAGTAAATATTCAGTTACTTAACATTTCTTAGAATTCTACATTTCAACTAAATGCAAATCTCTCTTACAAAGTCAACAAAAACTGATGATCAAGCCAGGCGCCGGTGACTCACGCTTATAATCCTAGCTACTCAGGAGGGTGAGATCTGAGGATCACAGTTCAAAGCCAGCCTGGGCAAGCAAGAAAGTCGGAGAGACTCTTATCTCCAATAAACCACTAGAAAACCTGAAGTGGCACTGTGGCACAAGCGGTAGGGCACTCACTCTGAGCTGAAGAGCCGAGGGATAGCACCCAAGCCCAGAGTTCAAGCCCCACAACCCACAAAAAACAAAACAAAAAACTGATGATCAATAGGGAGATGTTCTCACTGAAAATATCTAGCTACTGAAGTAAAATATTCGAATTCATAATACATAAAATATATTCTTATTTTTTCAAATAATTCTGTTAAAAATTAAACATGAGGACAGGTGCCGTTAGCTCACACCTGAAATCCTAGCTACTCAGGAGGCTGAGATCTGAGGATCACAGTTCAAAGCCAGCCTGGGCAGGAAAGTCTGTGAGACTCTTATCTCCAAAAACCAGCAGAAAACTGGAAGTGGCACAGTGGCTCAAGTAGTAGAGCACTTGCCTTGAAGAGCTCATGGACAGCACCCAGGCCCAGAGTTCAAGCCCCACAACCGAAAAAAAAAGAAAAAGAAAATTAAACCTATGCAAGGGGTTATTGGATACATTTTAGGTTTTAACAGTACACAACCTATAGTTAGAGGTTAAGGATGAAAATAAAATAAGATGACTCTGAATCTGAGGTCTCACAGTGAATATTTTAGGCATGTGGCCCACGGTCCATGGCAGCCTCACAGCTCTCTGCCGGGGCTGAGTATGTGGCTTAGTGGTAGAGTGCTTGCCTAGTATGCATGAAGCCCCAGGTTCAATTCCTCAGTATCACATAAACAGAAAAAGCTGGAAGTGGTGGCATGGCTCAAGTGGTAGTGTGCTAGCCTTGAGGAAAAGAAGCTCAGGGGCAGTGCCCAAACCCTGAGTTCAAGCCCCAGGACTGGCCACAACCCCCCAAAAAACAGTAGCTATGGACAGTATATAAACAGGTGGTGGTATTCTAAAAAGAACTCAGTTATAGCAGGCACTGGTGGCTTATGCCTGTAATCCTAGCTACTCAGAAGGCTGAGATCTGAGGATCATGGTTCAAAGCCAGCCAGGGCAGCAAAGTCCATGAGACTCTTATATCTAATTAACCACCAGAAAACCAGAGGTGGCACTGTGGCTCAAGTGTTACAAGTCTTGAGAACAAAAACCCAGGGACAACACCCAGGCCCAGAGTTCAAGCCTTAAAAGACTGGCACACACACAGAAAAGCATATGTTAACTTTGCCATACAGGATCTTCCCAGAGCTTTTCTATTCCAAAGGAATCATGGCCATGAAGTGACAACAGTTCACCTGATAAGTTTTGAAAAACTCAAGTTCATGAGCTCATAAAGGACGCTTTCTAGTAATCACATAAAACCTATAGCTTTTTAGTGCCATCAACCATCCATCCAAAACAAAATCCTCAGGTATCTGAATGCCAGTCAGACAATATATACTATGACAAAGCTGATAAGGAAGTGAGTGTCCATGCTACTTACCTGTACAATATGACGTATTCATGCCCTTGTTTTCTGGATAGTCTGTAGGCTGGTGTCACCCTAGTTATAGCAAGAAGAGACTTCAGCAGCAGTGACAGTCTGTTATAGACTGTGTAAGAAACTTTGATTTCTTTATCACACCTGAGGAGCACAAGACACCATTAGCATCTTCTATAAAGTGCTAGAACTATAAGAAGTTATTATTAAAAAATATTCTGAATTAAGGGTGTAACTATGTAAAAGTTCTGTCAATATGTTGTTGAAGTTAGCCAAACTTTTATACAGTGGAGAACCAAAAATCACCCAAGGTTTTTTCTAGGCATTTTCCCCCCCTCAGTATTGTGAATCAAATCCAGAGTCTTGCAATTGCTAGGGAAGTGCTTTACCACTTTTTTTTCTAGTTTTTAAGTAAGTTTCTAGGAAACTAAGGAGCACACTTAAAAACAATTACTCAATATTGCAATTATATATTCTTAAGAAGCTGAAATACTTCGGGTACTAGCTTTATTTATTTTTGGTGCCAGTCCTAGGATTTGAATTCAGGGCCTAGGTGCTTCCCCTAAGCTTTTGTGCTTGAGGCTAGTGCTCTACTACTTGAGCCACAGCTCTACTTCCAGCTTTCAAAGATGAGTCTCACAGAGTTTACTGTGCAAGCTGGCTTTGAACCATGATCCTCAGTTCTCAGCCTCTTGATTAGTTAAGATTACAGGCTTGAGCCACTGGTGTCTGACGTAAGGACTCCCATTTAGAGTGAGAATCATTTTCTGCCCAGGCTGGCTTGGAACTTTGATCTATTGGACCTTAGCCTTTTGAGAAGCTAGGATTACAGGATAAGCCATTAGCACCTGGTTTAGCATACATTCTCAAGGTACTGTTTTAGGATCTATTTCTTTCTGTCTATATAGAAACAGAAATAATTTTATCCAGGAAATTTGGAGGAGTCTGTTTGGACCATAACTTGGCTTATTTTCTATTTAAGAAAAAAAAAGAGGCTGGAGGCCCAGCTGCCTAACAATAGTAAGCATTTGAGTTCAATCCTTAGTACCAACCAAAAAATAAATAAACATGATTCTGGATGCTGGTGGCTCACACCTGTAATCCAGCTAATCAGGATGGTGAGATCTGAGGCTTACAGTTGGAAGCCAGCCTGGGCAAGACTATTATCTCATATTAATCATACACACACACACACACACACACACACACAACTTTAGCAAAAGAGCTCATAGCCAGGTGCCGGTGGCTCACACCTGAAATCCTAGCTACTCAGGAGGCTGAGCTCTGAGGATCACGGTTCAAAGCCAGCTCAGGCAGGACAGTCCGTGAAACTCTTATCTCCAATTAACCACCAGAAAACTGCAAGTGGCACTGTGGCTCAAGTGGCAGAGTGCTTGCCTTGAGCTGAAGAGCTGAGTGACAGTGCCCAGGCCCAGAGTTAAAGCCCCAAAACTGACTTAAAAAAAAAAAAAAGAGAGAGAACATGAACAACACACAGGCCCCAAGTTCAAAACCCATGTCTGACTCTGACACTGACACATACACTAATGGCCATATCACACATAGTAATCACTAGAATTTTCTTTGGATGGATTGGTATTTTCTCAATCTTCCTGTCTATAGCTTTTGAAAACTGAAGCTTAAGCAGTAGCGAAGCTAATCTCTGTTAAAGAAGAAAATGGGGGAGGGAGATAATATGCATTAATACACAATCAACCCAGTGTGTAAAAAGAGCAGTGTGGGGAAATCTTGCTGGATAGCAGCCACACAGAAAGCAGACAAAGTAGTGTAGTCATGTTACAGGAGCTCATGAGGGATTTAATCAGAGAACTTGCTGTTCTCTGGGAAAACAACAAAATCCTTTTCAGCTTCTGCTGCGACTTTCCTGGTGCTGTGTGAGTCTCTGGACTGTCTCTGAAGGTCATCTCTATGCCTAGGATGGAAGCCAAGCCTGAAGCACACTGTAGCAAAGACCTACTGGCTTTGCTGAGTGGTCAAAATGCCTTTGGTGACTGAAAACAAAGCCCTGCTTTCACATGATATCATCTGCTTTATCTGCAAATACCACCAACCACAGGGCCTGAGACAAAAGCACTTACTTTTCATTCATTTCAAGACACCAAATTTCCAGCTCCATAGAATCTCCCTGTAGATGGGACAAGGGGAAACCATTTCAGTTTTTTAACTATTTTTTTAAATTATAAAGTACTACATAATCACTAGAAAGGGTTGGAAGGTACAGATAGGCAAACAGATTAAAAACAATTTAGCCAGCTATTTTTCTATTTATTTTGGAGTACTAGGGTACTGGGATCTGAATTTAGGACCTTATACTTGTGAGGAAGGTATTCTATACCGCCCCCTCCCCATCCCACCCCCAAAAGCTACACTTCTAAAAAAGTTGGATTTGCTACATGTCACTTTTCTTTTCTTTTTTCTTTTTTTTTTGGTCAGTCATCAGCTTGAACTCCTGGCCTGGGCACTGTCCCTGAGCTCTTTCATTCAAAGCTAGTGCTCTAATACCAGAACCACAGTGCTATTTCTGGTGTTCTAGTGGTTAATTGGAGATAAAAGTCATAGACTTTCCTGCCCAGGCTGTCTTCCAACTGCCAGCCTTAGATCTCAGCCTCCTGAGTAGCTAGGATTACAGTGTAAGTCACTGGTACCCAACTTTATTTTTTCTTAATACCTAGGGCCAGGTGCTGGAATGTAGCACAGTGACAAAGAGCTTGCTAGCCCAGCAAGTGTAATATCCTGAGTTTGATTCCAGTACAAAAATAATATATATACAATTTTTAAAAAACAAACAAAAAATAACACCTAGGGCTGGACAGGATAGTCCATGAGACTCTTATTCCCAATTAATCACAAAAACATCCATGACTCATGTGGTAGAGTGCTAGTTTTGAGCAAAAAGAACTTAGGGATAGTGCCCAGGCCCAGAGTTCAAGCCACGGGACTGGCAAATACTACTACTACTACTACTACTACTACTACTACTACTACTACTACTGCTACTATTAGTAATGATAACAATAATAATACTTAGGCACCTGCCTACTAAGTTCAAAACAAGCCAGCACCCAGTGGCTCACACCTGTAATCCTAGCTATTTAAGAGGCTGAGATCTGAGGATCTTGGTTCAAAGTCAGGGTAGTCTAATAAATCAAAGAAACTCTTTTTTTTTTTGTCAGTGGTGGGGCCTGGGCACTGTCCCTTAGCTCTTCAGCTCAAGGCTAGCGCTCTACCACTTGAGCCACAGCACCACTCCCAGCCTTTTCTGTTTATGTGATGCTGGGGAATCAAACCCAGGGCCTCATGCATGCAAGGCAAGCACTCTACCATTGAGCCACCTTCCCAGCCCCCAAAAAACTCATATCTTTAATTAACCAATAAAAAATCTGGATGTGGAGGTATGGCTCAAGTGGTAGAGCAACAGCCTTAAGCAAAAAAGTTAAAGGAGAAGAACACAAAGTCCTGAGTTCAGGCCCCGGTAGGGCACAAAAAGAAAAAAAAAAAAAACAGCAAAAAAATCTTGGTGTTTTCCTGATGAAAATAATGCATCTCTTTTGTTTTCTGCAGTTCCAGAGATCAAATCCAGTACTTTGAGTGTGCTAGACAAACATTGTAATATGAAGCTACATCTCCAATACCCCCAAATTCTTTATCACTATAACACAGTATTCTACACTATGACTATCATTTTATCTAACCAGTCTCCCTATCGTGGACTATACAACAGACTTACGTTTCTTTTCTCTTTTTTTTTTTTTTTGACTTGTTTTTTGCTTTTGGTGTTAGCACTTGAGCTTGAACTCAAAGGCTCTTGTCCTTGGTTCAGCTTTTTATGCTCTTGGCCACTTGAACCACAGCTCTAGTTAAGAAGTTAACATTGTACACACATATACAATTTCCTTAGGCAAATTTCCATTGGTTCAGAGAATATAAACAAGATTTTTCCTTTTTCATTTTTGCAGTTCTAGGGTGAAATCCCTGGGTCTTGCACATGCTAGTCAAGTGCTCTGCCACTGGGCAGCATCCCTGGCTCTAAAAAAAAAAAAATTATTTTATTTTTTTTGGGTGCTCATCCTGGGGCTTAAACTCAGGGCCTTAAGCTTTTTTTTTTTTTTTTTTTTGGTCGGTCTTGGGGCTTGAACTCTGGGCTTGGGTGCTGTTCTTCCACTCTTCAGCTCAAGATAAGCGCTCTACCACTTGAGCCACAGTGCCACTTCCGGTTTTCTAGTGGTTTACTGGAGATAAGAGTCTCACAGACTTTCCTGCCCCAGCTGGCTTTGAACCATGATCCTCAGATCTCAGTCTCCTGAGTAGCTAAGATGACAGGTGTGAGCCACTGGCGCCTGGCTCCTTAAGCTTTTTTTTTGCTCAAAAGTAGTGTTCTATCATTGAACCTCAGCTATATTTTCGGCTTTTTGTTGGTTAATTGGAGACAAGAGTCTCACAGACTTTCCTGCCTAGTCTGACTTTGAACTGTGATCCTCAGATCTCAGTCTCCTTAGTAGCTAGGATAATAGGTATGAAACACCAGTGTCCAGCTTTAGCCCTAAACCTTTTTTTTTTTTTTAAATTTTATTTTATTGTAAAGGCGTATACAGAGCCTAAAGGTATTTTTCCAAAATACCTTCAAAAAAGCTGAAAATTTTAAAGTAATGGAAAGAGCCTTTCCCTTCAATTCTATAGGGGAATTTTTAGGTAGCAGCCACATTTTAAGAACACTTGCTCTTTTTCTTTTTTTTTTCATTTTCTTTTTCTTTTTTTTGTCAGTCATGAGGCTTGAATTCTGGGCCTGGGCACTGTCCCTCAGCTCTTCAGCTCAAGGCAAGTACTCTACCACTTGAGCCACAGGCCACTTCCGGTTTTCTGGTGGTTTATTGGAGATGAGTCTCCCGGCCTTTCCTACCTGAGCTGGCTTTGAACAACGATCCTCAGATCTCAGCCTCCTGACTGAGTAGCTAGGATTACAGGTGTGAGCCACCAGTGCCCCACACAATTGCTCTTTAAACTTAAAAATCTACTTGTCTGATAGCTTTAGACAACCTCTATGTATTAGTCCTTACACTTCCTTGGTGGGAGGGAAAGAAATGCCTAAAGCCAAGATCACTCAACCTTGTGACACTTCTGTGTGTGAGTGAGAAAGGTAATCACATCCCTTTGGACACAGTAACCTTTTTACTAATCATTCAGGTGTGGGAATGAGTTTGGGTTAGTTTATGAAACTAATCTGACCTGGAAATTTTGTTATAGGTCAAATTTACATTGCCTATCCTTAGTATCTATCCTTATCACATTTTAAGTTTTTGTTTCTTTTCTTTTTCTTTTTTGTCAGTTGTGGGGCTTGAACTCTGGGCCTGAAAACTGTCCTTCAGCTCTTTGGCTCAAGGCTAGAGCTTTACCTCTGGAGCCACAGTGCCACTTCTGGGTTAAGAATCTAGCCTGTAGGGACTGGGAAGGTGGCTCAGTGGTAGAGCGTTTGCCTTGCATGCTCAAGGCCCTGGGTTCGATTCCTCACCCCCATATAAGCAAAAAAGAAAAAAGCTGGAAGTGGCGCTGTGGCTCAAGTGGTAGAATGCTAGCCTTGAGCTGAAGAGCTGAGGGACAGCGCCCAGGCCCAGGGTTCAGGCCCCACATCTGGACCAAAAAAAAAAAAGAATCTAGCCTGTAATCCTTGCTACTCAGGAGGCTGAGATCTGAGGATCCAGGTTCAAACCCAGCCCGGGCAGGAACGTCTGTGAGACTCTTATCTCCAATAAACCACCAGAAAACTAGAAGTGGCCCTGTGGCTCAAGTGGTAGGGCCCTATCTTTGAGCTGAAGAGCTGAGGGGCAGAGTCCAGGCCCACAGTTCAAGCCCCATGACCAACAACAACAACAAAAAAGAATCTCACGGACTTTTCATGCCCAGGCTGGCTTTAAGTGAGATCCTCAGATCTCAGCCTCTTGAGTAGCTAGGATTATAGGCGTAAGCCACAGGTGTCCAGCAAGTTTTTGTTTCTTGAGATAGAGCTCAGTATATTGCTCAGGTTGGCCTTCAACTCCTGGACTCCAGAATGAGTGTGTCTGGAGGACTGGCTCGCTCATTCTCCCATGTAGTTGGGACAACTGAGTTTTGTCCATGCCTAAACTGCACTGCTTCAAGAAAAATACTGTTATTTTCAAATAATACAGTAAGTTTCAAAATTCTCCCCCCCCCCCAAAAAAAATAAGGGACAAATAAATACTGGAGAGTATCTACAAGTTGATGTTGTTTTTCTAGAATAATCAGAACTATTTATAATCAGGTTTCCCAGATGCTCATAAAAGGAGAGTTCTTCCACAGATTCCTTTTAGACACTCTGAATCACTAAGCGAAACAACTCATTGTAGAAACTTGCAATTCACTAAAGGACTTTTGTTTTATTGGATGTTAGGGTTTCCACAGGAAAAAAAAATTGAAACCATTCATTCAATAAAATTCTTGAAAGAGTACTACATGCTATTCTAGGCACAAGGCTGGCTCCTGAGAAAACAGAAGTGGTTGTATTTCTAAATGCTACCTAATTTCAAAAAGAACTTGAGAAATACATAATGGTATATAAGAATGTGACAGCTGCTGATCTTAACTAGGAAAATAGAGCATGAACATAAACATGTACTAACTACCAACAACAATTTACCCTAAGAATTTCACAAATAAAGATTAAAGCCAGGGTTGGGATGGTGGCTCAGTGGTAGAGGCCCTCGGTTCAATTCCTCAGCACCACATAAGCATAAAAAGCTGAAAGTGGCACTGTGGCTCAAGTGGTAGAGCGCTCACCTTGAGCTGAAGAGCTGAGGGACAGTGTCCAGGCCCAGAATTCAAGCCCGACAACCGACAAAAAAAAAAAAAAGGAGTGCAAATAAGAGGATCATGGTCCAGCCCATACTAGGCAAAAAGACCCTAACTAAAAAATAAAGATACCAAAAAGGGATGGAGGCATAGCTCAAGTAGAATACCTACCTAACAAGTACAAGGCCTTGAGTTCAGTATCACCAAAAGCAAAAACAACTAAATCATACATCAGGTCTCAGTAGTAAAGAGCATGTACGAGGCCCTGGGTTTATCTTTGATACTGCAAAAGATAAACAAAAACAAAAACAGGGCTGGGAAGGTGGCTCAGTGGTAGAGCGCTTGCCTTGCATACATGAGGCCCTGGGTTTGATTCCTCAGCATCACATAAGCAGAAAAAGCCCGAAGTGGCACTGTGGCTCAAGTGGTAGAACGTTAGCTTTGAACTGAAGAGCTGAGGGACAGCACCCAGGCCCAGAGTTCAGGGCCCATGACTGACAAAAAAAACAACAACAAAAAAACAGTTCTTCCTGTGATGGTTCATTACTCTCAGTCTCTGATTTTTCCTATTCTTTTTGCTGCAAACAAGGTTTCCCTATGTAGAACAGGCTAGCCTCAAAACTTGTTATGTAGCCTGTCCTGGAACTTTCAAATTCCTGCCTCATACTCCTAAGTGCTGGGATTACAAGTGTATGCTACTACTACCTCACCCAGGACTCACTGAGTATAAAGTTAAAATCAGGAAATGACATGGAAATAAGTTCAGCACAAATCAAATGCAAATAAAAGTAAAAACTGAAGTGTTGTCAGACACCAGTGGCCCATGCCTATAATCTTAGCTACTCAGGAGGGTGAGATCTAAGAATCATGGTTTGAAGCCAGCCCAAGCTGGAAACTACATGCAACACTTATCCACAATTAACCACCAGAAAGCAAGGAGTGGACCTGTGACTCAAATGGTAGAGCTTTAGCCCTGAGTGGAAAAAGCTAAGGAAAAGTGCCCATGTAAGTTCAAGCCCCATTACGTACACAAACAAAACAAAACAAAACAAAAACTGGTGTCATGTCACTAGTGAGCATAAGGTTAAGTCATTTGGTTAAAGTGATTCAGCAGGGATCTGACCTCTCCTTACATAGCCCTAAAGTCCATTTGCCTTATATTATACCATCCAAGTTTACAATCTATTAGTTAAAATAGATTAATAGGCATGCGAGTAGCCAGGTACAGTGGCTCATACCCTGTAATCCTAGCTATGTGGGAAGCAAAAATCTGTAAAACCAAAGTTTTTGAGGCCAATCCAGGCAAAAAGTTTGAGAGATCCCATCTGAACTAATTAAAAGCTGACTTCAAACTGCAATCCTCAGGTCTCAGCTTCCTGAGGGACTAGGATTATAGATGTAAGCCACTGGAACCTAGGTAAACAAAAATTTCTTAAAACAAACAGAAAAGCAAAAAAAGCCTCATAGTACAGCAAGTTTTCTAGAAAAATAAAACTATAAACCAAGTATCATAGGAAGTCTTAATAGCAGCAGTTACCTCTGCTTCTAAAAGAGGGAGATTTTCAAGAACACATGAATTAAAGAATGAGTGGAAATATGTTTTATAAAGAAGGAGGTAAGGAGACTATTTTACATTGCTGGAGCTGGGAACAGTGTTTGCCTGCATACTTGAGGCCCTGGGGTCACTCACCAGCATTCCAACACTAACAACCTACCCCTGATACTTTCAGAAAATGATGAGCAGTCTGGAGCAGGAAGGACCAGGGAAAAGACTAAGAAAAGAGTTGGAACTAAAGAGTGCAGAGGCTTGAGTGCCATGTGTAAACACAGTTCTGGCTATAACCATACCTCAGAAGTCTTGAGTGAGATCTCCACACACATAGAGCGCCCAACCGCAGGCAGCTGCCCTGCCAATGCCTTCTTTGCTTCATGTGTTACTTCTGGGATGTCTTTGATTGCTAAGTTAAACTAGAAAGAAAAAAAGAGAAAACTTCTGAGTGAAACTCTCTCGAGAAACATGTGACTATATGGTAATATATGTTGAGTGAACAAGAATAGCTTTGGCTGATAGCAGGAAATACTTCTCCGTCCCCATAAGATAGTTTAATCCAAGCCCCAAGTCTCAAGTTGAAAGGTTATCTATTACAAAGAGTATGTAACTATGGGCTGGGAAGGTGGCTCAGTGGTAGAGCGCTTGCCTTGCATGCATGAGGCCCTGGGTTCAATTCCTCAGCACCACATAAGCAGAAAAAGACGGAAGTGGCTCTATGGCTTCAGTGGTAGAGTGCTAGCCTTGAGCTGAAGAGCTGAGGGACAGCGCCCAGGCCCAAAGTTCAGGCCCCAGGACCAAGAAAAAAGAAAAAAAAAAAAAAAAGAGTACGTAACAAGACACTATTTTTGTTTTCTAGGGACAAAACTGTGCATCTGTCACAGCAGAAAAGTTAAGTATCAAATAAATTCAGGGCTAATTTAAGTAAGAAATATATCCAAGTGAAATAGAATTCGTTATTTTGATGTTATAATTTAGGAATTCTGTAAGTAGTATGCCTTATTGTCGCACTGAAGAACTTTCCATTCATTTCTTGTGATAAATACTACAGTATATACCCATCAGCAAAGAAGAGGCATTTTACCCAGTCTGAACCCGTTGGGGAAGAAGATGAACGAGTGCAAATCTTTTCACCAAGTCGAGCCTGGACAATCACTTGGACAGTCTGAAAACAGAAGCAAATAGATGAAATGTCAGGCTGGAGATGCAGCACATAATCGTGGCTTACACAGGAAAGAACAGAACTTTAAATACAGCAGACTGGGGAAAAAAAGCAACAAATAAACGAAAAACCACGAAATACACACACAAAAAAATAGTATGAGAAGTGTTCCCAAGTGTAGGGTCAACCAGTAAGAGGAAGTAGAGTTTGAGCTCAGAACCTACAACAGTCCCACATGGCAGAAAGAAAACTGCACATGATCTCTAAGCTGTTCACAAGGAAGTAAGTCCAACTGTGGGTATAAATATTCAGTCACAAGCTCATGTTATCATAGTAGATCTAAAACAAGAATTCTACAATTATTCATATAGCTTAGCCCATATGGCAAAAGTCTTCCCACATAATTTTTCAACCAGAACGGACACAGCACGTATAGTTCTGGCATGGCAACTGTTGAGAGAAAAAAGTGATGCAGGTAGAAATGAACTGCAGATTTCAAAAAACAACTTTCAAAATTCAGTTTTAATTCTGTTTATGAGGAAGTCAACAATAAATGAAAGTTGGACATTTTAGTGCTGGCTGAAACTCAGGGAAGGATGCCCAAAATGCTGCCCATTCCAATTTAAGTCTTTTGTTCTTATCCCAAGGGAACACAATGTGCCAGTTACATGGCATAACAATTTGACATTTCTACCGAAAGCCTTGCAAAAAAATTTTGACCAACTAAATGCAGAAAACTAGAAGCTACTTTTTAGTCACACCCCCAATGCCACCTTCACACTTGCCAGTTTAGTTTACCACAGATAGAAGTCTCCTGAAACAGGCAAGCTACAAGCTGTTATGCTACATATCCAAAGAGAGCTCTCTAAAGAGAGAAGCAGGGGAGTCAGTTCTTACAGGTCTTAGTTCAAGAGAGTGGATTTATTACCTTGAGGGCAAAAAATTTAATAAACTTGTCCAGGTCTTTTCTGTCCTGGGAATTGAGATCAGTTTCCATTGCCTATAGGAATCTACAAGAGAAGAAAAAAGGAGTGACAGAAAAGGTGATTAATACCTTTAAAAAGGAACTGTATATAGGAACTAATAACAGATGATACTGATTCTGAAACTTTGATCTTTAAATATGTAACTTACCTATCACAGTTTTATTACTCTAGTTTTATTAAAACTAGAATTCAAGTTTTAATAAGATAAAAACCTTTATTAAAGCAACACAAATGAGTTAATTTATACTAATTCCAAAGTCCACTGAGTCAATTTCTCTTTGGAGAGTTTGAGGCCCCTTCTGAAAAACTGTTGACTAGAAACATCTTTTCTCAAAAAAATGTACACATATGAGAATGCTTACATGTAATTTCCAGGAGTCTCATGGATTTTTTTAGGGGGGAGAGGGAGGTCCGGTCATGGGGCCTGAACTCTGGGCCTGGGCGCTGTCCCTCAGCTCTTCAGCTCAAGGCTAGCACTCTACTACTTGAGCCACAGCGCCACTTTGGGCTTTTTTCTTTTTGCTTATGTGGTGCTGCGGAATCGAACCCAGGGCCTCATGCATGCAAGGCAAGCGCTCTACCACTGAGCCACCTTCCCAACCGAGTCTCATGGATTTTTGAGAAGCATTTATTACCTATCTTCCAGAGCAAAATGGGCTGATGATGAGGAATAAAACATTTAAGGACATAAGAGCATGAAGAGAGAGGTTTAAGTAAGAGAGAACTAAATGGGCATAAAAATACCAATATTCCATTTTTCCAGCGGTCTGTATGGGCACAGGGAAGCAGTATGGCTGTTTAGGGCCATATCAGTTGTGAAAAAGCTAGAGCCAGAGACCCAGCCTACTCAAGGCTTTGAAGAAGAAAAGATAGCTTTGCGGGCATAATGTGCAACCGCTTTGCAGTAAGACAGGCAGGGAAACCAGCTAAGTCCTTGGCAGTATCTCTGACTTGAAGTTTAAGCTAAAACTAACAGCAGACATGAATAGGAAACAGTTCGGAGACATTTTGAAGAAAGAGATAAAGGGGTGCTAGTGTTTTAAATCTGTATAACTAAGAAGTTTAGTATAGTTTCATTTAACAACAAATAAGTACATTTCTGTATATATTTATAATAGTATCTATCTTTATGTATAAATTATTTTCTCCCAGATGAGTTTGTTAGTCTTTTTTTTTTTTTTTCATTGCCAGTACTGAAGTTTGACCTCTGGGCCTTGTGCTTGCTTGGCTTTTTTGCTTGGCTGGAGCTCTACTCCTTGAGCCATGCCTCTAGGCCTGACATTTGGGTGTTTTCTTCTTTTTTTTCTTTATTTGGTGCTGGTCCTGGTGCTTGAACTCTGGGTTTGGGTGCTGTCTCTGAATGTTTGTGCTCAAGGCTAACACTCCACACTTGAGCCACAGCTCCACTTCTGGCTTTTGGGTAATTAAGAAGATAAGAGTATCCTGCCCAGGGTGGCTTCAAACTGCAATCCTCAGATCTCAGCCTTCTGTGAAGCTATAGTGTGAGCCAGCAGTGCTCAGCTCCACCTATTTGTTTTTAATGAGAGATTGACAAATATAGAACTTAGTCCAAAACCCAATACAACCAGTCCATCAAGTGAACTAGCACCTCCTATAACTAGGCAAAAAAGCCAACCCACTGCCCATAGAAACGAGTCAAGTAAGTCAGATTTCTCTAGAAACCAATACAGGCATCATAAAAGAACCACTGTGGGGCTGTGAAGGTGGCTCAGTGGTAGAGCGCTTGTCTTGCATGCATGAGGCCCTGGGTTCGATTCCCCAGCACCACATAAGCAAAAAGAAAAAGAGGCAGAAGTGGTGCTGTGGCTCAAGTGGTAGAGCGCTAGCCTTGAGCTGAAGAGCTGAGGGACAGCGCCCAGGCCCAGAGTTCAGACCCCACAACCGGAACCAAAAAAATAAATAAATAAATAAATGAACCAATGTAACAATTGGCCCAATCAGATAGAATTCAGTTACCACTTCCAACCAGATTAAGCCAGATATGGTTAGGTTAGCTTGTGTACAGCTTTCTCAGACCAAAATCTCTAATCTAGAAATATCTAAAGCCTTCCCTTTTTTCCAAACTAAAGTTTTCTTGTCCTTCTGTCTCTGAGTCTCTGTCAGATGCAACTGATGATAGCTGATCTGATTCTCTTGCTTTTTTTTGGGGGGGGGAGGGGGGAGATCCAGTCGTGGGGCCTGAACTCTGGGCCTGGGTGTTGTCCCTCAGCTCTTCAGCTCAAGGCTAGCGCTCTACCACTTGAGCCACAATGCCATTTCCGGCTTTTTTCTTTTTGCTTATGTGGTGCTGAGGAATTGAACCCAGGGCCTCAGGCATGCAAAGCAAGCACTCTACCACTTAGCCACCTTCCCAGCCCCTTCTCTTGCTTTTAATAACCTTTGCCTATTCTTTATTTTTTTTTGTCAGTCCTGGGCCTTGAATTCTGAGCCTAAGCACTGTCCCTTAGCTCTTTAGCTCAAGACTAGTTAGCTCTACCACTTGAGCTAGAGTGCCACTTCTGGTTTTCTGATGGTTTATTGGAGATAAGAGTTTCACGGACTTTCCTGCCCGGGCTGGCTTTGAACCGTGATCCTCAGATCTCAGCCTCCTGAGTAGCTAGTATTACAGGTGTGAGCCATCAGCCCTGGCTTAACCTTTGCCTGTTCTTAATTGGATAGTTTTATTTCTAGATTAAAAATAACTATCAAGCCAGGCACCAGTGGTTCATGCCTGTATCCAAGCTACACAGGAGGATGAAATCTTAGTAACAACTATGGGAAAGTTGGAAGTGGCACTATGGCTCCAGTGGTAGAGCACTAGCCTTGATCACAAAGAGGCTCAGGGACAGTGCCCAGGCCCTGACTTCAAGACTCAGGACCAGCAACAATAACAACAACAACAAAAAAAAACTATTAGCTGGGTGCTGGTGGCTCATACCTATATTAGCTACTCAGGAGGCTGAGATCTTAAGATCACAGTTCAAAGCTAGCTGGGGCAGGAAAATATGTGAGACTCTTTATCTACAATTAAACAGCAAAAAGCAGACGATGAAGGTGTGGCTCAAGCGACAGAGTGCCAGTCTTGAGCAAAAAGAACTAAAGGACAGCAAGTGAGAACTCAATACTCTGAGTTCAAGCCCCAATACTCTTCCCCCACCCCCCACTCCTAAAAAAAACTGTTAGAACTAATGAAGTATCTCAAGATACAAAATCAACATACATACAAAAATCAGTTCTTACAATAAAATTCATGAGACTCTATCTTACTTAATGTTTGGATATGGTTTGGTGTGCAACTATTTCAGCTACTGGCTGAGCATGGTGACTTTTATTACAAGTGACACAGGGAAGTAAAAGGCAAGACTGCCACCCAGACTGCTCTGAGCACAAAGCAAGATCCTACCTGGAAAATAACCATTGCAAAAGGGGAAGGAAGGGACTGTGAATGTGGTTTAGTGGTAGAGTGCTTAGCATGCATGAAGCCTAGGGTCGATTCCTCAGTACCACATATACAGAAAAGGCACCTTGAGCAAAAGAAGCAAAAGAAGCTCAGGGACAGTGCCCAGGACCTGAGTTTAAGCCCCAGGACTGGCAAAAAAAAATGGCTCAAGTGTTAAGAGGCCTGACTAATATGGCAGAGCATTCAATCCCCAGTACCACCAAGAAGATTAAAAAAAAAAAAAAAAGTATCATTTTATGCACTAACAGTACACTACCTGAAAAAGAAAACAAACTAGGTGCTAGTGTCTCACACGTGTAATCCTAGATATTCAGGTTGAGATTTGAGGATTGCAATTCAAAGCCACTCTGAGCAGGAAAGTTCCTAAGACTTTCATCTCCAATTAAACATCAAAAAGCTCAAATAGTAGAGTCATCTCTGAGTGAAAAACCTAGGGGACAGTACTAAGGCACTGAGTTAAAATCCGAGTGCCAGGATATACACACACATATATATATACACACACACACACACTCACACACAGGAATCAAGAAAACATTTAAGCCGGGGGCTGATGGCTCACACCTGTAATCCTAGCTACTCAGGAGGCTGAGATCTGAGGATCGTGGTTCAAAGCCAGCCCGGGCAGGAGAGACCATGAGACTCCTATCTCCAATAAACCACCAGAAAACCGGAAGTGGCGCTGTAGCTCAAGTGGTAGAGCGCTTGCCTTGAGCTGAAGAGCTGAGGGACAGCGCCCAGGCCCAGAGTTCAAGCCCCACGACCGACAAAAAAAAAAAAAAAAAGAAAGAAAGAAAACATTTAAAAGCTAGGTACCGGTGGCTCCTATCTTGTTTAGGGTGTGTGTGTGTACATGTGTACACACATATATATACATATATATGTGTGTGTGTGTGTGTGTATATAACCTAGAAGAGCTAAGGAGGGAATTCACGTGGGACTTGGGAGCAGAGGAATTCATTATGGTGAGCTAAGATTTACGGCAGCTGCCTGAATAGGAGATAAGGGGGTCTGCTGTTACCATTCATGGCTGACCAAATGGAATGTTACTTCAAGGTGAGAGGGAAGGTGCTGATCATCAACTACCTGCTCCAAAGGGACCCCTTGTCAGCCAATGTGGGGAAAGGAGTATGTCAGGCTAACACAACCTCTTTGTACAACTATTTAATAATAAAATTTAAAACTTCTTTTAAAGTACTAAAAAAGCTAAGTATGATATGCACATAAATGCTGCTGATTGGGGATGTTGAAGCAGTAGACTCACAAACTCAAGGGGTCTGGACAAAAGGACAAGACTCCATCTCAAAAAGAAAAATGACAGTGAGAAAAACTTTTTCCATCAAAGTGTATTGCTTAAAAATTCCTGCTTTGGCCTGGTGCTTTGTCTCTTGTTGAGGAAAAGAGGAAATGCCTTGGGATAAGAAAGGATTTATAGGGGCTGGAAAAATGGCTCAGTGGTAGAGCGCTTGCCTTGCATGCCTGAGACCCTGGGTTCAATTCCTCAGCACCACATAAGCAAAAAGAAAAAACTCGGAAGTGGTGCTGTGGCTCAAGTGTAGAGCAT